CCTGTTAATGTTCACTTGATTGGATACCCTGGGGAGCCTGGTCAGTCTTTTGTAATTATAAATACTTAGTTCCTGAGCCAGGTCACAGGCTCACCCTATTCATACACAGACATACCCTTAAGACAGGATTTGTGAACGAAAAGACAATGGGGAGGCCTTTCCATTTTCCTTCGACCTTGCAGAGAAATATTTGAGGTCAATTTGGGAGGGACAAAATGGTCTCAGGACTTTTTCTGTGGGGTTTCAGACATGTGGTTTATATATGCAGTTATGAACATTTATTATAAGACCTCAATTTTAAAATTTCAAAACAAACCCCGCTGTGTTCCAATTCAGCAAAGATGGGACCAAATAAAGGCTGTTCATTTGATACCGCAAGGGTCCCTCTCCTGTATGGTAGAGTGATGTCCTGCTAGCTGCACCCAGGGATGTGTGTCCCTGCACGCGGAAAATGCAAACGCTTTTACTTGCCCAGGTGCGCGACTCTTGCAGGCAGGCCTTCCAGGCAAACATTTGCTGTTGCAGAGGTTTGGTTGAGTGCAAAACAACAACACGCACAACCCTGCTCTGTTTCCCCTTAAGCCGAGGCAGCTGTGAGCATTTGCAAACACTGACTCGATTTGCTTCCCATTAGCCCATATGTGTTGACAATCAAATGCGCAAGCTGTTAATTAATATCGCCCACTTCTCCTCCTCTGGTTGGCGGGTGCCTCTGGGAGGAGAAGGGTGCATCTCGCCTTTTGGAATAGTTTTCCCTGAGTCTCCGAGGAAAATGTGGACAGGTATAGAGGGAACTCTGGGAATTGTAGATCTGGGAAGGGGGAACAGAGATCTCCTAAGAACTCTCAGCACCCTTGCTGTTTAGTCGTTTAGTCGTGTCCACCTCTTCGTGACCCACTGGACCAGAGCAACGCCAGGCACTCCCATCTTCCACTGCCTCCCGCAGTTTGGTCAAACTCATGCTGGCAGCTTTGAGAACACTGTCCCACCATCTCGTCCTCTGTCGTCCCCTTCTCCTTGTGCCCTCCATCTTTCCCAACATCAGGGTCTTTTCCAGGGAGTCTTCTCTTCTCATGAGGTGGCCAAAGTCTTGGAGCCTCAGCTTCAGGATCTGTCCTTCCAGTGAGCACTCAGGGCTGATTTCCTTCAGAATGGATCGGTTTGATCTTCTTGCAGTCCATGGGACTCTCCAGAGTCTCCTCCAGCACCAGAATTCAAAAGCATCCATTCTCTGGCAATCAGCTTTCTTGATGGTCCAGCTCTCACTTCCATACATCACTACTGGGAAAACCAGAGCTTTAACTATACGGACCTTTGTCGGCAAGGAGATGTCTCTGCTTTTTGAGATGCTAACAAACTATAACTCCCATAATTCTTTGGCGTGGTGGTGGTGGTGGGGAACCATGGCTGTTTAGAATTTATGGTGGCTGTAGCTCTGTCCACAGGTTTCAGTGGGTCCGCACTGGGTTATGCAAAATAACAGCCGTAATGCCCAAAATTGTTTATAAAACAGAAAAGCAGGGTACAGTTTAATATTTCTGTGTGTGCACAGTCTGTTAAGTGAGCAGGAAAGTCGCACTGAATATGCAAAGGTTAATTTGTAAATGTCGGAACAAATTGTATGGCCATGTGCCGTGTCTGATCTAGCTGGGATTCCCACCTTGTAGGGGGTTGGATTAGATGATGATGATGATGATAATAATAATATATTTATACCCCACCCATCTGCCTGGCCCCCCTTCCAACTCATGATTGATTCTATGGCTCTAAATAACATGGCTATCATAACAGCGAATGTTGTCAGCAAAACTCGGTTTTATTTTTATCTTATTTTCAAGGGTGGGTTCAGGAAACGTTGCACGCTGTGGAATACGAAGGGGAAAGAACCAAGCCAGGCCCCGCGCTGTGGTTGCCCATAGCAACCTGCTACCCACGCCCCACTCAGCGGAACTACAGCCCCCGAAAGCCCTTGCGCGAAAGAGGCGGGGCGCGCCTCCCCTGACGCCGCGCGATGACGGAGAACGTAACTCTCCGCCCGCTCACGTTTTTTCCCCTTGGAGCAGCGGCCGTTCCAAAGGGGCGTGTCTTAGTCTGCCTGTCTCTATTCCTGAACTCCAACTCCCATGAGGCATTGCAGCAAAGGCGCGTGCGCAGTCTTGGCATAGCGTTTTAGAACATAGCGCAACTTACTGGCTGCCCTGGACTGCAATTCCCATGAAGCTCCGCGACGAGGATTTAGGCTCTAATTAATGACTTATTAATAATTGAGATCATTAATTAACATGCAGTGGCTAATGTTTATTAGCGCATGGAAAGGGAATTGCATTCCCCCCCTTCTCCCTGATTTTGGATGTGACTTGCCCAAAATTGCAAATCCTGTAACATTTTCCCCCCAGGATTAAACTCCTGTGAGGGTTGGTAGCTCCAGCACGGGAGGAAGGAGGCACATTTCCCCCCAGCTCGGACAATAAAGGGATTTTAGACGCTGGACTTAATGGTCTTGTGGGGAGGGAGGCAATATGATACTAGATGGTAATGACTGTTGCTTCTAATGTTGCAAGTCTCTCCACCTTTTGATTGCATTTATTAGGATTTCTTTACGGCTTTTATGTCCCATCCTTTAGCCAAAAAAAAAAGGCTCATAGACTGTGTATACCTCAACAGCTTAAAACACAGATAGGTGGTTCTTTTTTTTTTGTTTGGTTCAAAGCTGGTTTTCCGGGGGTAATGCAGGATTTCATAGAATCGTGGCTAACTTTGGGAGTGCATTTGATGCAGAGTAAAACACGGGTGGCGCTGTGGTCTAAACCACTGAGCCTAGGGCTTGCCAATCAGAAGGTCGGTGGTTCGAATCCCCGCGATGGGGTGAGCTCCCGTTGCTCGGTCCCTGCTCCTGCCAACCTAGCAGTTCGAAAGCATGTCGAAGTGCAAGTAGATAAATAGGTACCGCTCTGTCGGGAAGGTAAACGGCATTTCCGTGCGCTGCTCTGGTTCACCATAAGCGGCTTAGTCCTGCTGGCCACATGACCCGGAAGCTGTACGCCGGCTCCCTCGGCCAGTAAAGCGAGATGAGCGCTGCAACCCCAGAGTCGTCTGCAACTGGACCTAATGGTCAGGGGTCCCTTTACCTTTAAATGGGCGATATGTACACAGCCTCAGAGCAGCAGTTCCTTCACTGATGTCAGTGGCAGTTCTGGCTGTCTTCCTCTTCTTAAAGAGCATCTCCACTTGAATAATTGCTTTATGCTGTGAAGCGCAGAAGTTTCAAAGCATTTTAGTTTATTGTAAATTAACTAGGACCTGGTTTTTGTATAGCAGTTCAAATTGCCACTCTAATAATAATAATAATAATCCACTCTGGGTTGCTCACAGCACTTAAAAAAGCATAGTAAAACCTCAAAGATTTAAAACTTTTGGCGAATTACTGCTTTGAGTCTAGACCAACCTACCACACAGGGTTGTTGTGAGAATTAAATGATGGAGGGGGAGAACAACATATGCCACCTTGAGCGCCTTCGAGAAGAAACGTGCAATTAATAATAATATCAATAACAACAATAACAATAATTTACTACTTGCACCCTGCCCGTCTAACTGGGTTGCCCTAGCTGCTCTGGACGGCTTGCTTCCAACAAAATATAAAAGGACACACGATAAATAAACTTTTTTTAAAAAAACAATATTTTAATCTATTCTTTGGATGTTATATCTATCTGTTGGCCACCTTGGGCAGCTTCTAGCGTCCCAGAGAGGAACAGTGGGGGAGGGCTTTTCAGAGGCTGCTCGACTGCATCTCCCATCTTCCCCCAGCAGCCAGCCTAATGGGCAATGATCAGCTGGGCTGATGAGCATGATGGGAGCCGTAGTCCATCAACCCCTGGAAAAAGCGCCGCTACCATAAAGCCACCCTTCCTTCCTGGGACTACATCTCCCATGATCCCCACCCTCCTCGCCTTTTCCCTTGACTTGGCTGAGGGAACCACAGAGGCTACTGTTGTTGTTTAGTTGTGTCCGCCTCTTCATGACCCCCTGAACCAGAGCACGCCAGGCACTCCTGTCTTCCACTGCCTCCCACAGTTTGGTCAAACTCATGCTGGTAGCTTCGAGAACACTGTCCCACCATCTCGTCCTCTGTCGTCCCCTTCTCCTTGTGCCCTCCATCTTTCCCAATATCAGGGTCTTTTAACTGGAGTCTTCTCTTCTCATGAGGTGGCCAAAGTCTTGGAGCCTCAGCTTCAGGATCTGTCCTTCCAGTGAGCACTCAGGGCTGATTTCCTTCAGAATGGAGAGGTTGGATCTTCTTGCAGTCCATGGTACTCTCAAGAGTCTCCTCCAGCACCAGAATTCAAAAGCATCCATTCTTCGGTGATCAGCCTTCTTTATGGTCCAGCTCTCACTTCCATACATCACTAGTGGGAAAACCAGAGCTTGAACTATACGGACCTTTGTTGGCAAGGTGATGTCTCTGCTTTTTAAGATGCAGGCTACTACAGTGGTACCTCAGGTTAAAGAACTTAATTCGTTCCGGAGGTCCGTTCTTAACCTGAAACTGTTCTTAACCTGAAGCACCACTTTAGTTAATGGGGCCTCCTGCTGCCGCCGAGCCGTCGGAGCCTGATTTCTGTTCTCATCCTGAAGCAAAGCTCTTAACCTGAAGCACTACTTCTGGATTAGTGGAGTCTGTAACCTGAAGCGTCTGTAATCTGAAGCGTATGTAACCTGAAGCTAACTAGACCAGAGTTTCCCAAACTTGGGTCTCCACCTGGTTTTTTTGGGGGGACTACAACTCCCATCATCCGTAGCTAGGGGGGACCAGTGGCCGGGGATGATGGGAACTGTAGTCCTACAGCAGCTGGCCACCTAAGTTTGGGTCTGCTGTGTGCGTGCCATCGGCTCGCCCGCTTGTGCGCATGCGTCCTCGTGCGTGCGTGCGTGCGGCGGCGGCGCCTACGGAAGCCGGCGAGCCGGAAAGGAGGCGGAGGGAGACGGCGGCAGAGAGGGAGAAGGGGGCGTGGCCGGTCGCGTGACCGCGCTCGCGCTCTCCGAGGGGGGGCGGGGGGCCCAAGAGCCGCGGCGGCGTCTTGCTCGCGCCAAGATGGCGGACGAGGGGAGCGAGGGGCTGCCGCGCTCCGTCCTGCCGGGCCCGCTGAGGGGCGGCAGCTCCGGGGGAGGCGGCGGCGGCGGCGGCTCGGGCTCCTTGTCGTCGTCGTCGTCAGCAGCGCCGGCTCCCTCCTCCTCCTCCTCCGTCGCCACCGCCACCACCACCCCCCCGGCTCCCCCTCAGCCGCCGCCGCCTCCCGCCCCCCCGGCGGGGCCTCGCGTGGTCCGCATCGTCAAGTCGGAATCCGGCTACGGGTTCAACGTGCGCGGGCAAGTGAGCGAGGGCGGGCAGCTGCGCAGCATCAACGGGGAGCTCTACGCGCCGCTGCAGCACGTCAGCGCCGTCCTGGGCGGGGGGGCGGCCGAGCGCGCCGGGGTGCGCAAAGGGGACCGCATCCTCGAGGTGTGAGTACGGGGGGGCGGGGCCGGGGAGGGGAGGGAGGGGGGGAGGGAGGGTCCCCGAAAACACACGCACCTGCAGCTCCCACCTTTCTCCACATGCGTGTGCGTGTGTACACACCAACACGTGTGCAGCGTGAGGCTGTGCACCCCGGAGTTTTATTGGCGTGCGTGTATGCATCTGTATATACACCCATGCATGCATATAATTCAGAGCAGCCTCTCCCCCCTTTCTCCACATGTACACACAAACACGTGTGCAGCGTGAGGCTGTACACCCCAGAGTTTTATTTGCGTGCATGCGTGTATATGCATATGTATATACACCCATGCAAAAGGGACAGCAGCCTCGAGGTGTGAGTATGGGGGGCAGGCCCCCCAAAACACACACCTGCAGCTCCCCCCTTTCTCCACATGCGTGTGTGTGTGTATACACCAACACGTGTGCAGCGTGAGGTTAGACACCCCGGAGTTTTATTTGCGTGTGTGTGTATATAGATAGATAGATAGATAGATATGCAGTATGCATATGTACCCATGCATGCATATAATTCAGAGCATCCTCTTCCCCCTTTCTCCACCCGTGTGTGTGTACACACCAACATGTGTGCACCGTGAGGCTGTACACCCCTGAGTTTTATTTCCGGGCCTGTGTGTATATGCATCTGTATATACACCCATGCATGCATATAATTCACTTCTGTTCTTCAGACTCATCAAATGCCACAGCTGATGCCTCCACTTAGGGGTCTCACCCCTGCTACCTGCAAATCCCAATTTTAGATCTCTTCCCTGTTTTTTCACTGTGGGTCTGTGGCTCCTGAGTTTATGCATAGGTTCAGTTGTGTTGATAAGACTCTGCCTTATCACTAGCACTGTCCTTTCGCAGCGCCCACACAAGCACACATGTGTAGAGGGAGTATATGTTTATGCCTGAGCTTATGTCTATATATTTAGCTGTGTTTTGATGCTGAAGATGGTGCTTCTTAGTATCATGGCGCCATTCAAGATTTGCACCACAGGTGAGGGGATGCATTTAGTGTGCGTAACCTGCCACAATTATTTATTGTTTGTTGATTTCACCAAAGTTATATACTACTTGGTTGTAATAAAATCTCCAAGTGGCTTATAGTTATGTAGTCATGTTCTTCATATATCTATATATGTATCTGTGTGCATGTACTCCCAGAGCATATATATATATAAAATACATTTTACTTTATATATATATATGTATGTTAGGGGGGTGTGCAGTAGGCCCCCCCACAGTTGCATTTGCTAAGTTATACGCAGAGTAGGCCCATTGAAATCATATCGACTCAAATTAGCCAAGTGCATTGGTGTCAGTAGGTTTGCACTGAGGATGACTTAGCCAGATACGACCCATATATAGACATGCAGAAAGAGTCTTGTGAAGCATTGAAGGCCAATAAATTTATTAAGTCTTAATAAGTCTTAATGGGCTTATGAGGGGCATCTGATGCAGTGGACCGAAGTCTAGCGAAGCTTCTATGTCCCAATAAGCCAGCTTTCAAATTCCACAATACTTTTTTTTAAAAAAAAAGCTTATTCTATAGGAAGCCAGCACAGCTAACCCTCTGGGAAACATACCTAGTTTCAGAGTAAATAATAGATCACACTACATTTGTTTTTTCACTACAGCTGAGATTTGTTGGGCAGGCGGTGGATTGTTCCCACCACATCATATGCACACTATTTTTATAACCCATTTCAAATTATGTAATCATATTCTCTCTTTCTGTTTTAAAAAAAATACATTCTTGCAGCACACCATATAGCTCATACTCCTTTATATTCAAGATTTCCTTTAAAGGTGAGGGGATATGTGGAGCTCCCCATCCTCTTGGGGGCAACCCATCTACAATTATATAGAAATGTTCCTCACATATTGGGGGGGATACCATATTGTGTTGCTACTTGCATCCTGGCCTGTTCAAGGTTTTCACTATAGTTGAGGGGGTATTTGGGGGCAAGGACACCCACTCAGAAGTTTTATTCCATTATTCCCTCTTTGGAAATGAAAAAAGTTTGATGCAGTATTCTGAGATTATATCAGGCTGAGCAAAGGAATGTTTAGGTTGTGGGAGAAGAGTTCTCTACTTATGGTTTATGTAGCAATATTCTCCCTCTTAAAGGAAATGTGTAAGGGTTTTTCAGATTACATCATTGCTGCTTTAAACTTTCTTCTACAGGCGCATTTCACTTTGGTATAAACCACCCACAATTCATACAGCAAAATTCTAAAGTTGATTTATTACCTCCCCAGAGGACCGCATACAGCACTCTCCCTCGTATATCTAGGATTTCCCTATAACTGCAAGGAGAGATATGGGGAGCCCCCCTCCCCATTCCTCCACCAGCAGCTAATATTGTGATACATTGCATCAGAGATAATGCTACTCTTTAGAATGGTTGGTTCAAGACTGGCTACAGCTGTAGGGGATGGATATTATTAATATACAGTATTACCATATGTCTTAATTGTTTTTCATGGCCTATTCAAGGCTTTGTTTTAGCTTCAGGCTTTTAGTCATTTCCAGATTCCTCTTTCCCTGCATGTTAATGAAAGAAAAGTGAGTGTAATGTTATAAAATGTAGGGAGTTGTTTGTTTTTTAAATCCTACCTTTCTTCCATCATGGAACCCAAGGCAATGGGGTGCATGGGGTTCCCAGGGAGTCTTCTATTAATACACTGCTCCAACCCAGGCCTGGTTAGTGGTAGCCCCCTGTACCTTCAGACCATACCCTATGTGGGATCCTTCACTTGGAGACACCTTACTCACTCGCCTGTTCTCATAAGCGCCCCTCTTTTTTCTATTAGACAGGTAAAAAGAAGATTTGACAGTCAGCAGGCAGGGTTGGAATATATGCCTGTGTGTGGCCTTCCTTCCCCAAAGGGATGATTAAGGGGGTATTGAATACAGATGAAAACTGGGAGCCCCTTATTATCCCCCCCCCCAGTTATAAGTTGGAGAAGCTTGATTTTGATTTATTTATTTTTTAACCACCCTGTGTAACTGACTTTAGTTTCCGCTGAACGTAACATTTTTTTTGTTCTGCTGTGGCTGATTCCCCTCCTTCTCTCCTAGAAGATGGTTATGTTGCTACTGGGACTTTATGAAGCGTAAGCTGCCTTCAGAATTTCATGTTAATAAGATAAAAGTTGGGGGGGTGTACAGTTTTATTGGGGGCCCTGTCTTCTCTTAGAGGCAATGCCCCCGCCCCCAAGTATCATGGGCAATCTCTACCTTCTTGAATATAATGGTATTGGTAGATATTTTCATTAAGTAGGGTTGCTTTTTAAAAAATGAAAATAACCAATCTACTCTACCAACGTGGGCTGCCATACGTTTGGATTTTCCCAGACATTTCAGCGATTTCCGCCCGGACACTGCTTAAGGGGGCTGACTACCAGACATACGGCAACCCTCCATTAAGAAGCTCCTGATTCAGTCTATTCCCTCTCAAGCTCTCCCCTCAATCATCACCTCCATGAAGATGGAATAGAGAGGAGGACTTGTGTCCAGGAAGTGTCTTTATCTCCTAGCAGGTTATCCATGAAACCGTTGCATTGAAATGGTCCTGCTTAATAAAGCCTGATATTCCCTGACAAAAGTAGCAGAAAATGTTTCTCAGTATTCTTTGGATTGGAGGCAGTTCTCCCAACCTGGTGGTTTTTTTGTGTTGCAGCCAACCGAGTTCTACTTAGAGAAGACGAGTTGAAATTAGTGGACTTAAGTTGTATGGATTTCAATGAGAGTCTGTTCTTGAGTAGGACTAGCACTGCTTGCAACACTTGGGAGCGGATTTATTGGGTGTGGGTGCAACAGTTAGAAACAAGATTGAAGCACTTCTGTTGCTCTCTGATCAATGTCTTGTTAGGACTGGTGTACAAGTCAGCTGGTCTTTTTCTGTTTCTTCCCCTGTTCAGAGCAAACCAGTTCCTAAGAACGTCTGTTTCATTTAAACGTTTTTGTTGAACATCGACAAAGAGTGTCTATTTAACAGGAGAATATGAAGAGTTTTGTAGCAGTTGGAAGGATGTGTTGGACGTGCTGAGTTTGGATTCCCTTACTGGCTCCGTGAATTAAAATGTTTTGGTCCATGGGATGGCTAAAAAGATTGCCTACAGGGCCAGCTTCTCTGCAAGACCAGTTACCCTCCTTACTAGTGGGTGCTTTGAGTTTTCTGTGCTGAGTGAGTTTGGGAGATGTCAGCAGAAAGGGGAAAAAATGTGTCCTCATTTTAGTCTTGTTAGTTGGGCAATGTTCCCATGAGCTGGAGAAAAAGTCACTGGTTTTTCCATTGCATGAATTAAACCCAGCATGGACAGCTTTCTTAGTCAACCTTGGGTGGGGATTTTCGTTTTGCATGCTGCTGGCTTGGCGGACGATTTGTTCCGGTGCTTGGCAGTGGCCTAAGGTTGCAGTGCCTGCGTGGAATAGGGTCACTTCCATTTAAGAAGGAGAAGAGGTGGTTTGTGCTGTAAAATGAGGAATTAGGTCAGTGCGAGGTTGCCACTAACGTGGCCTAGAACAGCAATATAGCAGCTTCAGGGGTGGGGTTGTGGGGAAACGAAAAATGATATTGGACCTTTCATATCTTCCGGGATTCTGCACCTGACCGAACACATTTGGCGTTTAAGCTTCTGTGGATGCACAAATTGGGTCTTACTAAACTCACCACGGAGATCAAAACAGGACTCTTTCTCATGCGTTGGAAGTGTCGAATATACTCCCTATTTTGGTCATACTGGTGGTTTATAGACATTACTGAATCTTTCCATACAGAAAACTTTTAACTTGTCATCCTTCTCTGAGGAACACCTCAGAAGGACTTTGTTGCTGTCTGAATATTTGCACATGCAACCGAGCATGTATGGCTTTAAAACATTTTGCTTGTTCTGTGATTTATTCTGTGTAGCATTAATCCGTGTAGCATTAAAGATTGTGAACCCCTTAGCACAATGAGAGGTTGGTCTTTTGCAGGACACCACCTGTTTGATACTCTTCAGGTTCTTGTGAATAAGCTCAGCAAGGGGTGTGACTTGGCTGGAGCTCCTGCTCCATTTTCTAGGCATGTGCAATCTCTTCCCATCCCCATGGAGAAATTCTGTGAGTCCTATCTCATGTTGCAAGTCAGCCCTGCCCTTAATTTTGCCCAATCCCTCTCCTCGGTCTGTAATAGGAACATGCTACTGGTTCCCTACCTTAACAGTGTTGCTGGATCAGGGCAGTGGCTCATCTAGTCTGACGTCTTGTTCTCACAGTGGCCGACCAGATGCCTTTGGGAGCCCGCAAGTAGGACCTGAGTCCAACAGCACACTGCCCACCAGTGATTCCCAGCAAAGTGGTATTCAGAGGCATGCTGCCTCTGAGTCTAAACTGAATCACGCCATATAAATGCTCTTACAATGATGATTTAAGCTAGCCCTGGGAAAGATAAGACTCCGTTTACTGGTACTGAAAGGTGAATATGAGCCTTTTTGTGTATTTTAAAGTTGCACTTAAAATATCTAAAGCCTTCCCAGGAAATGTAGCCCTGATTTCTTCTTATACAAGTGAAACAGCACAGAGTTGAAGCTGGCATGCTTTTACACTGGATGTAATTTCTAGCATTCAAATCACTGAGGTAGTGGTGATCAGAGGGAGAATGGCCCTCCCCTCTCACACCTTGCATGCCTGTGGGTAATGTGGCATGATCTTAACTTGGCTTTGGAGGATGACGCTTGTGAGCTGTACCCAATGCTAGTCCTACTTGTAGTGGACCCAATGAAAAGGATGTTCTTGAACCCATGAATTACAGTGGGTCTCCTCTAGAACTTAGTTGGAGACAAACCCTGTGGATTTCACCAAGGGCCTCCAGCCTTTCCTGCCCACCTCCCATCACTTTGAATACTATTTAGGTCCAAATCCTTCAACTATTATGGTCATGATCTGGCCCTATTCTTTAAGATTGGGTGTGGGAGCAAGTCAAGCCCTTATTGCATGAGAGGAAGTGATGTAGGGCTCTGTGTGCAGGGCCATCCCACCCGTGAGACAAGATGAGATGACCGCCTCAGGCAGCAGGGTCCATCTGGCCTCCAAGGAATGCATCTCTTACAGCAGAGGTGGCTGTGGCATGCTGCTTAGAGGCTGGATCTTCTGCTTCCTTGGCATCCTTCCCAGTGCCCCCTCCACAGTGGCCTCTTGGCAAACAGGCACTGTTGCTGGTCTCCTCCCACCCCTAGGGAGGAAATGGCAGGGGCTGCCCTCTGGAGTCCCCAGGGCTCTGCTCGGTGTGATTCAGGGCCCTCTCCTCCCTTGTTCTCGATGTAGATCTTGATTCCCTGCTTGTTCCCTGTGTAGATCTTCACTGACCCCTTCTTCCTTGGCAGGTGGGGGGCAGGACGGGATGAGATGCCCCTTTGTGGTTTGCCTCAGGTGCCAAACTGTCTTGGACCAAATGATGCGTTGTATCCAGCTAGGTTATCCTCTACGGATATCAGGGGGCCCAAGTTAGCCACGTCCTTTAATCTCAGTGGGTTCACACTGTGCTTGACTAACCCTAGGAGTCAGAGTCCAGGAAACTTAAATAAACAGAAGAGTTTTAAAGATTGTTCCTGTCTCTGCCTCACAAATTCCTACCCAGTTGGGGAAGTCAGATGCTTGTGTGCCCTGTTTACAGGCTTGCTAAAGATATCTGGCTGGCCACATATGCAAGCAAGTAGGCAGGGCTAAGAGAGATCTTTGGACTTGTCCACCAGTCATTTCTTGATATACACATTTTTTAAAAATCAAAAGTTTTGAATTTCCTGGCCTGGGAAATTTGCAGCAACAAATGTCATCTAATCCAGTGGCTGTCAGCAAACAGTTTAGAGAATGAGTTGTTCTTTTTAGTAGTGTCTGATGGAAAGTACTGGATATTTAGGATGCACTTGAGAACAAGATAGTTTTTGTTTAGCAGCTAGGGATATGGCAGGATTAGGCAACCAGTGTACAGAACAACAGGTGTTTCTTGGAGGAAACAAGAACAAACTTTCATGTTGACTAGTATTCATCGAAGAGGCACTATTCAGTGATCAAGACCTATATATTTTAGAACAGAGGTGGAAAATCTTCGGCCCCCCTTCCAAATGTGGCCCTCAATGCCTCTCTGTCTGGTCCTCTGGACTTCCTCCAGGTCATGAATCTCCCTGACTTAGCGCCTTCCTCAAATGATTTTGCCTAGCTGGAATGTGTCCTTCAAAAGCTTGCCTGGATGAAAGACTGAAGTGTGTGGGAACTTCTGCTTTTCCATGGCTGGAATGCACCTTGCTGCACAAAGATTAGAGTCACCTTGATTCCCTGTCTGGGGGGAAAGGTGAGAAACGAATGAATGAATGAATGAATGAATGAATGAATAATACAATAGGTTGCTTATGAGGTAATGCGACCCTGAGGCTGGAAAAAAGTTGTTTGCTTTAGAGGAAAAACCCTGGAATCATGATTTACAATCAATATCCGTAAGCATAGGAATGATTCCTTTTTTACAACAAGTGTTATAATTTCAGCACCACTGATGGCGTTTTGCCACGTCAACAGGTGCCATTGTGCTATTAATTTCTGAGTTGCAGAAGTTAACAAAAGTTCACTCTACGTGACATAAAATCTACTGAGGGCACTTTTCTTGCTTTCCTTTGCCCCAGTTTCATTCTGGTTATTGTGACCGTTCTGCTAGGTTCTGTGCCTCGTTCCCAAGAGCCATGTGCCCCACTTCTAAGAGACCAGACTGAGGAGTTTGCTTTCCCAGAAGTCTTGTTTCCAGCTGCTAAATAGTCTGCTGCTCTTCTGTGGCTTCTAAGCTGAAGGTGGGATGGTGCTTTGCAGTGGGCCAGGGGGAAACACGTTCTTTCCCCTGGTAGGCTGGTGACACATAGGGATGCAGTTAGGCAAGGTAAAGGTAAGGGGACCCCTGACCATTAGGTCCAGTCGTGGACGACGCTGGGGTTGCGGCGCTCATCTCGCTTTATTGGCCAAGGGAGCTGGCGTACAGCTTCTGGGTCATGTGGCCAGCATGACTAAGCCGCTTCTGGCGAGCCAGAGCAGCGCACGGAAACGCCGTTTACCTTCCCGCTGGAGCGGTACCTATTTATCTACTTGCACTTTGACGTGCTTTCGAACTGCTAGGTTGGCAGGAGCAGGGACTGAGCAACGGGAGCTCACCCTGTCGCGGGGGTTCGAACCGCCGACCTTCTGATCGGCAAGTCCTAGGCTCTGTGGTTTAACCCACAGCGCCACCCGCGTCCCTACAGTTAGGCAAAGTGGTGAATAATTGTTAGCTGGCATCGTAATCCTCATCCCCAAAATTTATAACTTGCAAAAATGCCTAAAGTATTCTGGGCATTGACAGGAAGAAGACATACTGGTCCCTGCATACAGCAGAGAGAAAGTGTTGATTTAACCCAAGCCAGACCCTTGGTCCATCTAGCTTAGACTTGTCTACACTGACTGGCAGCAGCTCTCCCCACCCTACACAGAGATGCCAGGGATCAAACCTGGGTGCCACCTCTTTGCCCATTTGCAGTCTAAAAAAAATAAAATTTAGAGAGAAGAGGGGATTTGGAGGGGGGACCTTTGCACTGGAGAGGTCAGAGTGTTTCTTTTAAAGTAGAACCTTTGCAATAATTAACCCGCGGGGAGGAAAAGGAATTGCCTCAGAACACCAAGAAGGAAAAACAAAAGTTTTGAGTCACTTTGTAAAGCGGAGCAAAGGAGACAAGAAAGGGGAGGAGGCCAGGACAGGTAGGGCCAATTGATGTTGTAGTCCAGTAACAGTGGGGCGGAGACAAAGGCAGAGCAAAGTCTCCAGAGTTCACATTCTGCGTGCAGGAAGTCCCCTGGCATCTCCAGGTTGGTGAAAGCCTTTGCCCTTGGACACTGGAGTAGATTACACATGCCAGGCCAGCCTTCCCCAGTAGCTGACTGGGGGCTGTTGGGAGTCATAGTCCAAAACATCTGGAGGGCACCAGGTTGGGGAGCACAGGGCTAGGGGACCAGTGGCCTGCCTGATAAGACAGCTTCCCACACCCATAAGCTTCCAGACAAGGAGCCTTCCTGGCCCCCCTCCAGAGATGATTGAACTGCCCTGGCAGCCAGAATATTGAACCCTCCAGCTTGAAAGCCCCTTTGCTTCCCATCCTGTCCTTGTTGCACACAGCGAATCATGAGGTCACCCGCTTGCCTGTGCAACAGAACAAAAGCTAAACTCTTTATCATGCAGTACAAAGATACCCGTCCTTTAAAGGCTGGTTTTTAATTTTGCCGGAGCTGCTGCCGGGAGCATACAAAGTGGAGGGTCTCTGTTCTTTCGGAGTCGCTTCTGATAACAGAACTTGCCCTTCTGTGCACTGTGAAGGGATCTAGTAAGGTCCCCCACCAGATAGGATGACGATATTCCCTTGCAGTCCTGCTCGGTGGCTCTGCCATTACTGGAGTGGAATTGGCAGCAGCGGCCCCCCTGCTCCCACACCCGTGCCAGTAAATGTGACTTGGCTCATAAATCCTGGCCGCTCTCCTTCTTCCCCTTCTTGGTTTCTCTTTCTTTTTTTACTGTTCCGCTATCAGCCGAAAGCCCTTGAGGGAGGATCGTAAACCATTCCTGCGTTCTGGGCATCACCTCCTTGTAGAGTGGATAGGTTACTTAATAGGAGGGTGTCAGGCACCTTGAAAAAGTTATTGCGTGGGCAAAGCTACTTGAGGCAAGATGACGCTTTCCTTTTCCTCCACCACCAGTGCCCAAGATCTGGGAAACCTGGATCCCTGCCCCAGCAGAGGTCCCTTACTGTCCTATGTAGGATTTGTGACAGTGATTGCATCTTTAAGGCCACACCACCCTGATTTGTGGAGGAGGAGAAGAAGGTTGAATAGTGCAGCTGCTCAGGCCCATATGAATAATAATAATAATAATAATAATAATAATAATAATACAGTGGTACCTCAGGTTAAGTACTTAATTCGTTCCGCAGGTCCGTACTTAACCTGAAACTGTTCTTAACCTGAAGCACAACTTTAGCTGATGGGGCCTCCTGCTGCCGCCGTGCCGCCGGAGCACGATTTCTTATCCTGAAGCAAAGTTCTTAACCTGAAGCACTATTTCTGGGTTAGCGGAGTCTGTAACCTGAAGTGTCTTTAACCTGAAGCGTATGTAACCCGAGGTACCACTGCAATAATAATAATAATTAATTTATTATTTATACCCCGTCCATCTGGCTAGGTCTGCCCAGCCACCCTGGGCGGCTTCCAACAAAGTATTAAAATACAGTGGTCTGTTAAACATTAAAAGCTTCCCTAAACAGGGCTGCCTTCAGATGTCTTCTGAAGGTTCCCTGGGCATGGTTTTAGGATTGGGCGGAGAGGATTGGACAAAGTCACAAGGGAGAAGGCTGTCAGTGGCTGCTAGCCACAGAGGCTATTCTCTGCCTCCACGGTCAGAGGCAGCAACGCTCCTGAACATCTGAACGCTTTGCAACATCTGCCTGATGCATTCAGCCGGACAGGAAGTGAGCGTTACTTGCAAGTAAAGCCTGCTGAGGATGGCAGCCTTTAGTTACCTGCTTTCTCCGCGGTCTCAATGAGCCGAGGGGAATGCAAAGCTTGACGAAGGCATAGAATCGGTCTCTGAAAGCAAGGCGGTGTCCCATCTACGTTGGGATATTTTCACAGTGCTCGAGCTTGGGAGAGGGTGCCAGAAAATGGCTCGGTGAAGGGATCGGCAGAGTGAGCAAGGCCAAAATATTTCTGTCTTGTGGGTTGTCTTATCACTTAAAAAAACCCAAAAAACAGCTGCAGGATTCTGCATTAGGATAGGGTGTTTTGTGGGTGCTTCTGTACTTGCTCAGGAAGTGGAGTGTTGGACTCTCCCCCCCCCCGCCTGAGAAGCTCACAAATAGTGTATGAAGGGTGGTAAAAGGTAAAGGGACCCCTGACCATTAGGTCCAGTTGTGACCGACTCGGGTTGCGGCACTCATCTCGCTTTATGGGCCGGCTTCCGGTACAGCTTCCGGGTCATGTGGCCAGCATGACTAAGCCGCTTCTGGCGAACCAGAGCAGCGCACGGGAACACCATTTACCTTCCCGCCGGAGCAGTACCTATTTATCTACTTGCACTGGCGTGCTTTCGAACTGCTAGGTTGGCAGGAGCTGGGACTGAACATCGGGAGCTCACCCCATTGCAGGGATTCGAACTGCTGACCTTCTGATCGGCAAGCCCAAGTAGCTCAGTGGTTTAAACCACAGCGCCATCCGTGTCCCTATGAAGGGTGGTAGCCCTCCCTTATTGTTAATTCCCTGCATCTGGTAGTCAGAGATAGACTGTCCCTAAACCCAGAGGCTCTATAAAGTCATCACCTTTTTAGCTCTGCTGTCTAAATTTGTGGCCTTAGATAAATTTCACAGCTTAATTAACGGGTTTTAAGAAGTACCCTTCCTTTTGTGGACTTACTGCCATTCAGCTTCTTTGGGTGATCCACAGCTCTCGTATTCAGTGGGGGAAAGACTGCTTCCTTATACTGTTTAATAATGATACGAACCTCTTTCCCACCTATCTAGCCGTTAAACGCTTTTATAAGAAGAAGAAAGAAAAGGCCCCCAATGTTAGCCTTTCCCCAGTGGAGAAACGGCTCTGTCCTTTGATAATTTTTGTTACCCTTTTCTGCATCTCTTCTAGCTCTACTGTATCCTCTTTGGGATGAGGGGGGCGGTATGCTGAGTTCTGGCCAATCACGAAATGCCTTGGGTAGGGTTAGTTAGTCAAAGTGTTCTTTCCTGGCCTCCTACACCCCATCTGTGAAATGGGCATAATAGAGTCTGCCCTAAACGATTTGAGCCACAAGTATACGAAAGAGTGCCTCCTTCCGTACAGACTAGCCTGGGGGTTATGATCGGTGAAAAAGACCCTCCTGGTGGTTCTGTTGCCCTCAGACATTTGAGGGGTGGGAGTGGCTCTTGAGAGGGTCTCCTCGGTGGTGGCCCCAAGAATGCAGAACTCACCGCCCATAAAGATATGCCTGGCAGCATCTCTCTATAGTTTCTGGTGGTTGATGCTTTCAAGTGCTTCAAAGCACTGGCTGTTTAAAATTAATATTTCAATACAAACCATCATATTAATGTTTTTAACACTCTTAAAACAGTTTCACAACTATGTTCTTTTGTTCTCATTTAATTTCCGAAACCACCTTCAGCATGACCCCACAACGTTTGCAGTGTGGTTTAGTGGCTGAAGCTCTTCCCAAAAGAGCAAAGACTGTGTTCCTTTGTTGCAGACTTCCTAATTGAAACAAAACAAATTACGCGAAAGCATGCGAGAGGAAAGCGGTGCGGGCAAATCCCTCGCGGGGCTCTTGCTCCATTACTTGGACTGCTTCCAGGCTGTTGCCCCAAAGGAAATAGCTGGCAGTGCTTGGCCTGCGCTGGAAGGTGCCTCGCCAGCACCAGACGTCTTTAGGAGGCTTGTTAAATTGAAATTCCCCCGTGCTGAGAATTCTGGATCTGCCGGAGCCGAAGCAAATGTGCTTGTGTGAGATCCGGCTGGCGTGCAGTTTCTTTGGGAGCACATTTTTGCTGTGCCTCAGTTTCCCCAGGCAAGGCGCTGCATTGGGCGGCTGTGTGGGGAAGAAGAGATATCTGGAGGGAATCAGCTTTTCAGAGCATAGCTGCAGTCCTTAGCTCATTTGCCTTCCCGACCAGTGGTGGCTGGTGCCCACTGGGAGAGTTGGGTTTTGTCCCCCATCCTCCTGCTGCATTCAACAATATTGATGCTAAGGAGGAGACTTACATGCCAGCCGTGTAAGCGAGAAGACAGGCCGGTGGGCTTGGAGGAGGCTGGTGCGGCAGTGCCCCATTGGTGTCGTAGACCAGCCTCCCCTGCTTCCCACAACCTTGAGAAGTACACCAGTGCACTTGAAAGAATTTATACCAGTGACAAAAGATCTGTGCTGGCTGTCTATTAGTTACTAAACGAAGGTCAGTGCTTTGCTGCTGCCATTGCTCCACCTCCTCCTTTTATTTATTTATTTTTATACATCCCACCTTCCCCCCGAGAACCAGGACTCAAGGCTGCTCACAGAAATGAAAACAAATACTGATAAAACACACTTTCTGCCTAAAATGCAGATTGGGGGAAAAAGGTACCGCCTGCACAACTTGGCAGTGATGAGAGCTATGCCCAGTGAAGGGGGCCTTTTTGTACATCGTGGCAGAGCCTGCCCGCTGTTTCCGTTCCTCAGCTCAGCCTCAGGGTGGGTCATGAACCAGTGACCCGAAGGATGTTCGGCTGCCCAAAGGCCAGCCACCTTTCACCAAGAGGTGGGGAAATTTGCAGAGAGAAAAGAGAAGCGAGGGGCCTTTGGCTCCATAGGCCAAAGCAAATCGAGCGGCAGCCCCTGGTCCGGCACTGGGCCTGCCTGATAGCCAGTGTCTTGGCGGTCAGTCGGTGGCTAATGTTTTGAACAGGAGAGCAAGCAAGCAGGATGTTCTGCTGTGCTGCAACCGGGCAAGGGCCGGCAGGAAGAGAGAGGCTGCCAAATTCTCATTATTTATACCAGGCCTGTCCAGTGCCCCTGCCTTACCCTCCTCGCTGATTGCAAGAGTTGATCTTGTGCACCTATGCCTGGGGAGGGATAGATAGAGCACCCCCCCATCCCCTGACAGCATGTATGTTTTAAACAGATGTCATATATTTAGATAGTTTTAGTTCTATCAGTGTTTAATTGTATTTTAACGATTGAAATTTTCTGTGTTTTTAGCAGTTCTTGTTTTTATCCGTAAGCTTCCTAGAGTCCTGTCAGGAGGAAAAAGGCGGGTTATTAATAAATATAATAACAATGATGATAATGTCCAAGCTCTGCCGATAGATAGATAGCTAGCTAGATAGATGATAGATAGATAAATAAATAAATAAATAAGAAATCCACAGATCTGCTTGGCTTGGCCTCAGTTTGGAATCGCTCTCCTTCTCCAAACAATCCGCCCTGGGGACAAGGCAGGTCTGCTGCAACAACAAGAGGTTCCTTGTGGGAAGGGACAGATTTCAGGTCCCAGGGGCCAGAACCAGGAAACGTCCCCGAGATTCAGAGCGTGGCAACTCCCTGGTGCTTGTTTTTCCTTTCTTCCATAAGAAGGAAGAGAATCGAAGCACAACAAACCCGAACAATTAATTCATTCACTAAAAAAAAAAGGCAGCGGTAGCACCAGCGGCCGCTGGCGATCTCTTCCCTCTGTGCTTTCCCGTTCCGCAGATCTGCAGCTCTTGGCTTTCGCTGCTGGTTGTTCCCAGCTGGGTTGCCATGGAGACCTGACTGCAAAAGGTCCTAGCCTTTCCGTCCCCTCTGCTGTGGCATGTGGAGATGCCATGGGAGGGTCGGGAGCCGGATCGGGGCCAGGGACCAGCAGCTTCATCCCCAGGGTCGAAGGGGCAGTTGTGCCGTGTTCTTAAATAGCCATGCATGCAGCCAGTGACTCTGTCATTCTGGCAAGGTGAGCTCCAGGGAACTGGTTCTGTGTTGATCTCTCCCCGACTGGCCCAAGTGCTGTCCTGTGGGGGGGGGGGTCTTCCCTGCCCCTGGGTCTGACCGTCGTGGTGGCTGCAGCTGACGTAGCAAAGGAGCTCTGTGTAGTTCCTTCACTCTACAAAGCGTGGCTTTGGTTGTTGCTCCCAGCTGGCTGCTGCAGAGATTGGCTTTGCTCATGTTCGCCTCCATGTTTTAGCTGTGCATGTCAACGCAGGAACAAGGAGTTTAGCTGCAAAAAGGAAGAGAAAGGAGGGTACAGGTTGCATCTAGGGAACATCAGAAGCTGTCTGACACCAAGCCGAAGCATTGGCACTTCCAGCTCAGTATTGTCTTCGCTTCCTAGCAGAGGCACCCGGGAGTTTTCAGACGGGCCGCATTCCCAGCAGTGCCCCATTGACGACCCTGATGGACCCATTGGCTCCCCTGCAGTCACCCACCATGCCTAGAGCAGCTTTGCTTCAGTCAGGTTGCAAAAGCCCCATGTACCTTCAGACTGTAGCATAAAGGTTAAACTGTCTGCTTAGATAAATGGCAGCAAAACAAGGCAGAGCAATTTTTAAAAAACCTGACTACAGGTGGGAGTTGGAATCCTGCAACATCGGAACGGCGTCCTGAGTCCAGGCTCCCCACTGCTGGCTAATCCAGCCTCCCTTAGAAGGGAATTGCGTCATCCTGGTGCTGCCACTGAGAGAGACCCGTCTCCCACACAGCCTCCCCTGTCTCACCTGGAGCATGGTCTCCAGCCATGAGCTGAACTCACATTCTGCAATGGTTTTAGGCTTCCAATAACCTGGGGGATGAGTGACAGTGGACAGATGAAGTCATTTCAGTGGCAATTTGTTCAGATTGTAAGCTATTTTACTCTTTTGAAATGAACTTGCCCTGGCACGGCCCTTGAAGTAAAACACAAATTTGGATCTCTAGTTCATGGGCAGGCAGTTTCCTTGCGATGAATGAGGCCTGGGATTGGCTCACACCTTGTTTTTTTATTTATTTATTTCAGCAGCAGATAATGTCCATTTAGCCGGCATGTTGCTGGCGTGAGAGCCAGGACACCCACCACTCTTTAAACTGTTGAATAAACTATTTTAGATGCCTTTAGCCAACAATCTTGCCAACCGAATAAACACAGCTAAATTTAGTTCTGTAGCGGGAAAAGAAAGGCAATACTCCTCCTTGGAGGTCTGTGAGGGAACTGTGGTCAGGGTGTGCTGGCGGACGTGAGCCTTTTGAAAACAGACTCGCTTGTTGTGGTCAGTTTTCTCGGGCCTGTGTGGTCAAGACCACATTTGACAGCCTCCTCTCCACTGCATCCTGCAGCTGTGACTTTATAGGTGAAGATTCCTGCATTAATCCTACTACTACTGTACTAAGGGATGTGGGTGCCGCTGTGGGTTAAACCTCAAAGCCTAGGGCTTGCCGATCAGAAGGTCGGCGGTTTGAATCCCCGTGACGGGGTGAGCTCCTGTTGTTTGGTCCCTGCTCCTACCAACCTAGCAGTTCAAAAGCACGCCAAAGTACAAGTAGATAAATAGGTACTGCTCCAGCGGGAAGGTAAATGGCGTTTCTGTGCGCTGCTCTGGTTTGCCAGAAGCGGCTTAGTCCTGCTGGCCACATGACCCGGAAGCTGTACGCTGGCTCCCTCGGCCAGTAAAGCGAGATGAGCGCCGCAGTCCCAGAGTCGTCCACGACTAGACCTGATGGTCAGGGGTCCCTTTACCTTACTACTGTACTACATTTATTACATATACCCTGCCCATCTGACTGGGTTGCCCCAGCCACTCTTGGCCGATGGGGGTTGGACTAGATGACCCTTGGGATCCCTTCCAACTCTACAGTGCTATGATTTTATGATTCACAGGTGGGACTCTGCCTTGTTCAGGATTAGGTGTGGATATTTTGTGCCTGTATGTATTAAACGAAGCTGGAGGCTCTGCCAGGGTGCAGGCCTTGTAACAATCCTCCCCTTGCCTGCTGGCCCTGCTTTGCACCTCCTTGAGTGTCTTTGCCTGGCCTGAATATGCCCTTGAACTCTCACTGTGTGACTTGCTCACCTGGGTGGGGGATAGAGAGGGGTGTGTGTAGAAACTAGCTTACTGTACCAAGGTAAAATATCTGTCCTCTGCCCACATGTATGGTGTGCAAACCCTGGAAGATTGCCCAGAAGACTTAAAAAGCCCCCGCCCCAGGCTTAAACGTGAAACCTGTTTGCTGTAGGTGAGCTGCAGACTATGATTTTTCATCATCATCATCATCAAACCTTTATTGGCATCACTTACAAACATTCAGAATAAATAGGCCAGTGCGATCTCGTCGCCATTTCAACAGTACGGTCATTTGCCAAAGGGAAGATGAGGTGAGCAATCTATTTAATCTCTGTGGGTCTCCAGCAAGGGCAGGATCCTGTAGCGTACCTTGGCGACAAAAAAATCAAATAGAGGAACTTAGCTAGTGTCTTGGTGAGCTCCTGGTCTCTCCCCTGTAATAAGAAGCGTATAACCTCTGTCTCTGGTTTCCATGTTGGAATACACAGATGGTCTAGAAATTGTTGGCGGAGATCATACATTTTACATTTAAGGACCATTTGAACTAGAGTTTCCACCAGGTGGGCATCACATGGGCAGATCCTATCTCCTTCTGCCATACCTGCAAACCTACCCCAAACCATGATTTTCCCCTGCAGACATTCCCTGGCTGAGCTAGCATCCCAGGTAGTCCCGTCCTTTTCCCTGAGACCGTAGACATCGGCTGCCAGAGTCGATAGCTCTGGGCTACATGAATGGTTGGCTTGACTGAGGCAGCAGCGCTTCTGTGTTCCACTTGCTGGAAAATCTGTGAGGGGGTGTGTGCTCTAGTGCTCAGGCCCTGCTTGCTGTTTTCCCATAGGCGTCTGCTTGGCCACTGTGAGAACATTATTCCAGACTAGATGATCCATTGGCTTGATCCAGCAGCCTCTTCTTTTGTTCCTACGACTTGGGATAAGGCACCACCCATTGAGCCTTCTGGGGGACTCCGTTCACATCAGCTTCCTAGCTTCTGTCTTTCCGTCTTGAAGTCCTGGCAAGTCCTTTCTGAAAACGTGGATACTATGGTTTAGCATTGTAGGCTGGCAAAGACATCAATTGGTGTAAATCCTATACAGTGGTACCTCTGGTTGAGAACGGGATCCATTCGGAGCCCCATTCGCAACATGATCAGAATGCAACCTACGTGCACGGGTTGCTATTCGCTGCTTCTGCGTGTGTGCGTGACGTCATTTTGAGCGTCTGCGCATGCGCGAGTGGCGAAACCCAGAAGTAACCCTTTCTGGTACTTCCGGGTTGCCGCGGGGCGCAACCTGAAAATACGGAAACTGAACCAAACGTAACAAGAGGTTACACTGTACATTTATTTAAAAAATCCCTGTCCTCTGACTTTCTTGTTTTAGGACCTCGGAGGAAGGACCTTTAATGATGAATTTTATGGTTTGGTGTATATATCCCACCTTCCCATTGCTTCTCCCCCAGCCATTCAGACTTACTTTGCGCTGGCTCCGTTTGTAGTTTTATATCCCGTGGCTGGGATCCAAAGGTCCCCATACAATCTTCTGTTTGTGCACAGGGGCTTTCCAACCTCCCTTTTTCAGTGGCAGCCCCCTGGGAAGATTGTGGAGGGGCTCCTGAGGCACAGGGGTCTGCAACTGGAAGCGAAAGCGAATAACACCCTCTCCCTTTTGTGCATCACATACACACACACACATGCACACGCCACAAGGATTCAGTATTCCTTCTGTAGCACAAAAACACCTTCAGCCTCCCTTTTGACTTGCTTTGCCTGAACACTTCCTGCCGTCTGGCTCCCTTTAAAAAGTGGAACATCCTCTCCTCCTTCCTGCCCTCAGCCTCCCCCCCCCCCCCCCGGCCAAAGGCAAAGCCTCTTCTGGGTGGCCATATCTCCCCATCGTCTAGCAGATAACATAGGAAACTGCCTTACGCAGCGCCAGACACTTGATCCCTCTTGTTCAGTGTTGTTTACACTGACTGGTAGCAGCTCCCCAGGGTTTCGGGCAGAGGGTCTCTCCCAGCCGAGCTTGGAGAAGCCGCCAGGATTGAACCTTCTGCATGCGAAGCAGGTACTCTGCCACTGAGCCCATAGTCCCACCTTGTCCGCCTTTGAGATTGTGAGCCCTCTGGGGGCAGAGACTGCCGGTGCCGTGTTCCGCACAGTGCCTGGCACAGTGCCAGTTCTTAACTACAGATCAGTGCTCTCCTTCCAAGCTGTTGGCGAGAGAACAGTAGCATCTTCAGGATTCCCAGGGGTCTCTTTCATGTCTGTTCCACCCAGAGAGCAGCAGAGGTCAAGGTAGCCAGTGGGGTATGTGGAGCAGCGGTAAAGGTAAAAGTAAAGGGACCCCTGACCATTAGGTCCAGTCGTGGCCGACTTTGGGGTTGCGGGGCTCATCTTGCTTTATTGGCTGAGGGAGCTGGTGCACAGCTTCTGGGTCATGTGGCCAGCATGACTAAGCTGCTTCTGGCGAACCAGAGCAGCGCGCGGAACCGCCGTTTACCTTCCCACCAGAGCGGTACCTATTTATCTACTTGCACTTTGACGTGCTTTCGAACTGCTAGATGACCAGGAGCAGGGACCGAGCAACGGGAGCTCACCCCGTCGTGGGGATTCGAACTGCCGACCTTCTGATCGGCAAGTCCTAGGCTCAGTGGTTTAACCCACAGTGCCACCCGCGTCCCGTGGAGCAGTGGTACATGGACACTTCTGGCTCGGGGGTTCTAGGGAAGGCGCCTGAGATGCTGGCACCTACCGTCCATATCTTCTGCTCCTGTCCCCTCCAGTATTCTCAGTTGTGAACTGGGGAGGGGATGGAAGAAGACAAGCAGTAAAGCAGATGATTCCTCCCATGATGCTTTGCTGTCCTCCATACTGCCATTCTCCAAGGGGGTTGAGAGATTCTGCCCCCCCCCCGCCAGCTCACATAGCAAGCCTTGGCGGTGGTGGTGGTGGTAGAGCAGCCTCTTAAGCATGCAAAGGCCTGGAGGAAATGTCTCTGCCTCCCCCTCCTGTTGTTTATTTGGGTGGCTTTCACATCTCTAGAAGCCTCCCTGTGTTGTGGTTAATGAGTTATTCATTTGCTACCACAAAAGAGCTTGAGGCGGCATGCGTGAATCCCACCCTCATTTAATCCTTGCAACAGCCCTGAAAGGGAGATTAGATTGAGAGGCAATGACTGGCCAAAAGTCACTCCCATTGAGCTTCATGCTCAAGGGGGGATTCGAACCCTGGTCTCTCCGCAGGTCCTAGTCTGACTCCCTTTTAACTGCATTTGCTCTCTGGCAATGGTTTTCTCTTTTCCTTGGAGGGCTCCTCCTTCCACACTTCCTGTTCTTCATTCGGCTTTGCATTGGTGAATTGGACTCTTAATATACAGAGCTGGGGAATGGCTCTCTTGCTATCCTGCAGACGACCCCCCCCCCCCCCACTGGCGAGGGGCACATGGACGACTTGCCTGTTCTCTTGGTCGCTCTGGAGGGAGACCAAGAGCCACAGATGTGCAGGGACTCAGTGCCTCTAATTAACAATTTTACGCACAGTCTAGTAGCTGCTGTAAGGATACAGGCCTCTAATCTGCCTATTGCTTTGTTGTTGTTGTTGTTGTTGTTGTTTTGAAGATAAATGTCTCAGGCTCCCTGTGGGTGATTTTTCCCTCAAGCTCAATGTTCTCTCTGAATTCAGGCTCGCCCAAGCTCCTCTGGACTTTTGAGGCATTGTTCTCTGCAAGTAAAAGTCCCCGGAGAAGGAAATTCCTCTCTATTGGGGGAAGTGTGTGTGTGTGTGTGTTGCTTTTTCAAGAGCCAGAAAGTTGCCTTCCCCCCCGCCTCCCGCACGGCTCTGTTTACAAAACATTTCCTTCCCAAGTTCCCAAGTGATTTTGCCCGTGTGCGCCTTAAACGGGAGCTCCTGTCGAGTTTGTAAATGGCATTGAACAGGGGGGCGGGGGGGGCAAGTTCTGCAGCCTTAGTCAGTAACTAGTCTGAGCTGCAAGGTGTCTCCTGAAGAATTGCTGCCCCTTCAGCTCCCATCATTGTGTGTGTGTGTGTGTGTGTGTGTGAGAGAGAGAGAGAGAGAGAGAGAGAGAGAGAGGTTAGGTTGCTCTAAATGCACCTCCTCCCCATAGACATCACTTTCCAAATATTTCCACCAAATCGTCTTTACTGCATAGGTTTCTGGGCTAGTGGCTCAGAGAAGAAGTTAAGAACGAGAGCAAAGGACATCTAGCAGCCCTCAATGGGAGGCTTATTTATAATATTTGTTAGTTGCTTTTCTCACGGAGTGACAGATCAACTTGCATTGAAACCAGTTAGGAACATCCAACAACAGTCTAAAAACACAGATAAGACAGATCAGGACTTACTCATCCCACCCCACTCAGAGAGGCCACGGTGCCACCATTCAAATTAAGGGTCGAAAGCCGAGGCAAAGAGAAAAGTCTTTGCTTGGAGCCTCCAAAAGATGGTGCCAGGCGGGACTTCCTGGGGAGAGCACCCCACAGGTATGGAAAGGCCCGATCCCATGTTGCCACCCTCCTTTTATTTCCAAGTGGAAGCTTGTAAAAAAGGAGTCTGCGCAGCTTGCAGCAGAGATCATCTTGAAATCCACACACCACCCAGGTTATTATTAAATGATGCTGGCAAGCAATAGCTAGGCACACTTCTTTTTTGTAATGAGATTTTTATTAAAGTGTATCATAATAGCTGCTGCAAAAAATAGAAATAGAACAGGTAGAATACGGAGCCCTCTCTTAAAACTAGTTCTTATCCCTTACCACTCACAAAAGATGGTAGCTCATCCTAACTCTCGCCTGTTCCTATCTCTTCCCAGCCTTTTACATGTCTTAAGAGGGGCCTGATACGCCAGAAGTAAGGCAACAGGGAAAGTCCTGAATTTTAACACCCCCTGTCCCTTTATTTTCCTCTGATTTTCAAATCCTAGAGCTGTTCTGTTGCTTCAGTTTCTGCACTCTTTTTTATTTGCTAATACTGACTCCAGTAACGTTGGCGCCTGCCTCAAGCTTGTGGAACAACCGTCTCCCCCTTCTCCTCTGCCAGGAACGGCGTGAACGTCGAAGGGGCGACGCACAAGCAAGTGGTGGACCTGATCCGGGCGGGGGAGAAGGAGCTGATCCTGACGGTTCTGTCGGTGCCCCCCCATGAGGCCGACAACCTCGACCCGAGCGACGACTCTCTGGGCCAGTCGTTCTACGACTACACTGAGAAGCAGGCGGTGCCCATCTCCATCCCCACCTACAAGCATGTGGAACAGAATGGTGAGAAGTTTGTGGTGAGTACCAGCCCGGCTGGGGGGTCCCCTCTTGGGTGCCTGTGCCTTGTGACGGAGGGCTTTGGAACGCTCTGGCATGTCTTTCTGCTCCCCGACTGGTATAGAGTCCAGCTAGCAAATGTTTGGGCAAAAGAGAGAGTGTTGGCCTTCAGCGTTTGCCCGTACAGCCTAGGACCCTCGTACCTACAGCACTGCCTCTCCCGGTATGCCCCACGGAGAGCCTCAAGGTCCATAAATAGCAACACCCTAGTGGTCCCGGGCCCTAAGGAAGTCAGATTGGCTTCAACCAGAGCCAGGGCCTTTTCAACAGTGGCTCCGGCCTGGTGGAACGCTCTGTCTCATGAGACCAGGGCCCTGCAGGATCTGATTTCTTTCCGCAGGGCCTGTAAGACAGAGTTGTTCCGCCTGGCCTTTGGCTTGGAGCCAATTTGATTCCCTCCCGCCCTCTCTTTCTTTTTTCTTTTCCTTTCTCCTCCTGCGATGAGGCTACATTTTAATATTTCAATGTTTTAATGTTGTATTTTAATCTTGTTTTTAAGTTGTATTCATTCAACTTGTTTTTATTATTGCTTGTTAGCCGCCCTGAGCCTTGGCTGGGGAGGGCTGGGTATAAATAAATATTATTATTATTATTATTATTTATTACGCAACTCTCCTGTCTGCCTCCTTCTCTCTGAGAGAGTAACGGGCTTCCTCTTGTTCTGTAATGTGAAGGAGGGGAAAAACAGCAGGAGTCCCCTTTTCTCCAAACTACTTGTGCAAGTCTTTGGGAACTCCCTGCCTCATCCCTGAGCTTTCCGGCAAGCAGAAAGAACTCAAGAGAAGGTGGCTCCATTCACACCACACATTTAAAGCACTGTGATGTCATTTTCAGCAGACATGGCTTTGCTCCCTAAGGATTCTGGGTGCTGTAGTTTTTTAAGGGTGCTGTGACCTGTTAGGAGACACACACCCTTTCCCCTAGGAGCTACAATTCCCAGAGTTCCTGTGAAGAGTGATTGTTTGTTAAACCACTACAGTGGTACCTCGGGTTACAAACACCTCGGGTTACAAACCCTGCTAACCCGGAAGTAGTACCTCGAGTTAAGAACTTAGCCCCAGGATGAGAACAGAAATCGTGCGACGGTGGCAGCGGGAGGCCCCATTAGCTAAAGTGGTACCTCAGGCTAAGAATGGTGTCAGGTTAAGAACGGACCTCCAGAATGAATTAAGTTCTTAACCAGAGGTACCACTGTATAGGAACTGTGGCTATGGGAGGAGACTAGGGACCTCTTGACAACTCTCAACGCTCCCAGACTCCCAGAACTGGCCTGGGTACGGCTCTCGCTGCATCTTCCTATGTCCAAGTCTCCATTCAAGCAAGGCCCCTGTTGCCCAGTGGTAGACTTTGCACATGGCAAGTCCTCAAGGCATCTCTGGCTAGGGCTGCACAGGTCCCCTGCCTGGAACCCTGGAGGGCCTCTTCCTGTTGGTGCAGACAACCCTAAGCAGGATGGAGTGAGAGGCAGAGCATCCTCTTGGCAGGCAGTGGGTCCAGGTTCAGCCCGCAGCACAGGAACACCAGAAGAGCTTGATGGCTCTAATGCAGCGTCCTGCCCTCGCAGCAGCCAACCGGGTGCCTCTGGGAAGCCCACAAGCAAGACCTGAGCGCCGGCAGCAGCTCTCCCTGCTTGGGATCCCCAGAGGCGTTCTGCCTCCGACAGGGGAGGGTAGAACAGAGTCATTTTGGCTAGTAGCCACAGGTAGCCTTATCCTTCACGACTTTTTCTAAGGGTAAGGCTGGGAAATTGCCAATAAACAGATGAATCCAAAACGATAAAATGGCTGTTTTGTTGTGGCTTGACAAAAACGGCAACCGATGTAATCAGGATAAGAGCAGGCTGTGTGCGCACACTGGGCAAATGCTTTGCGAAAGGCATTCCACAACCCGTTTAGCTGCCATTGGCCTCACCTCTGAAGGAGAGGACACCTGGAGCAAATTCTACTCTGACCCAACCTGGTGAAGGAAGCATGGCGATGCATGATGCACCTCTGAGATTCCTCTTTTGGTGATGGAAAGAAAGCTAACCTCACTCTGGCCACATCCACAGAAAACATATTTAAAGTTTCCCCTGAAGAAGCCTGGGAACTGTAGTTTAAGGGTGCTGGGGATTGTAGCTTTGTGCAGGGGTAAACTATGCTCTTAAAAAGTAGAGAAATCACCTTGCCAACAAAAGTCCATATAGTAAAAGCTCTGGTTTTCCCAGTAGTGATGTATGGAAGTGAGAGCTGGACCATAAAGAAGGCTGATCGCCGAAGAATTGGTGCTTTTGAATTCTGGTGCTGGAGGAGACACTTGAGAGTCCCATGGACTGCAAGAAGATCCAACCTCTCCATTCTGAAGGAAATAAGCCCTGAGTGCTCACTGGAAGGACAGATCCTGAAGCTGAGGCTCCAAGACTTTGGCCACCTCATGAGAAGAGAAGACTCCCTGGAAAAGACCCTGATGTTGGGAAAGATGGAGGGCACAAGGAGAAGGGGACGACAGAGAACGAGATGGTTGGACAGTGTTCTTGAAGCTACCAACGTGAGTTTGACCAAACTGCGGGAGGCAGTGGAAGACAGGAGGGCCTGGCGTGCTCTGGTCCATGGGGTCACGAAGAGTCGGACACGACTAAAAGACTAAACAACAACAACAAACTATGCTCCCAGGATTCTTTGGGGGAAGCGATGTCCTTTCAGTGTGTGGCATGAAGGCGACCTAGGTGCAGCAAAACGTGATATCTGCATGGCCACTCCATGGGGACTTCTTTGCCATTGGACTCCCCTCTGTGAAAACCACCGGCTGTCCTATTCTGCCATGCACTGAGTAAAATAGCCAGGAGAAGGTGATTCTGTTGCAGAGGACACTCTGTTCGACTGCTTCTTCTGGCCAGGAGGAACCAAGGACGTCCTATCCCCATTCCAGAGCTGCTCCACACTGCCTCTTTCAAACGTTCTCCACAACATAGCCCACCCCTCGTGGGTCTTTCGGTAGCCATTGAAAAGCGGAGTTATTCCTGGTCATGTGCCAGCCCTGCAGGAGTGGGGCGTGTGCCCGTCTGCTGTGCCGGCCTGTGCCAAAGCGGCCTGCTGCCCACGAACTCCCAGAGGACCCAGTGAAGCCTTCAGATCCCATCTGGTCTTGTGGAGTTTGGGACCTTTTAGCCTGTTGCAGTTTGAAAGTGTGTGTGTGTGGCTATAAATTACTCATCAGTAAGTGGAATGAGACAGCTTATTTACGGGCTCTGAGTAACGTGGGGAAGTTTGCTCACTGAACGGGCAAGACGGATGTTGCATTGATTTCCACCCCCTTCCTCTCTCCTCCTCCCCCCCCACTTGTGAAACAGGGACTAGATTCCAAGGAGAGGCAAAGTGCTTGTTTAGATTGGAGTCTGTGTGTTGATGACTTAGGGGTCTCCACAAATTTGCTGAACTTTTTTTTTGCAAAATCTCAAAAAATATATATGAAGTTTTTGAACTATTTTAAAGGAAATCTAGACTTTTGACATTGGTTGCCATAAATCTGGATTTCCCCGGACATTTCAGCGATTTTTGCCTGGGCACCGCTTCTGACTGCAGTATTCCGGCTGTGTCTAGAAAATTCTGGACGTATGGCAACCCTACCAAATAATGTACTGGAGGGAGATCTGATTTTAGGGCAGAATTAGAGGTTTGTTATCCCCCCGCCCTGGGCAATGCATCTCCATAGATTACACAGTTATTTACGTTGTGTTATTCTCCTTAAGAAACAAATCAGAATTTGTGATGGTAAGAACTTCAAGGTTCTTTTGGCATAGCTGGGCTAAGAGGACGGAATAACGAGAACGTGTGTGGGGTGTTTGAGAGCGTGGATAAGTAAAAAGAGCACGCAGAAGGTCCCAGTTTCCATCTCCTGGAGAGAGACTGCCAGTCAGAGTGGACAATATTGACCTTGATGTGAGTCTTACTTGATGCAAGGCAACTTCCTGCTTACAAAAAGTTGATTGATAAGAAAAATATCCATAAACTGGAGTTCAAACAGCAACATATTATATTTTTTTAAAAACACAGTCAGGTAAACAGCCTGGGAGATAGCTGGGGCATTCTGCTTATCGACCCCCTAACTGGACCAAAGAGAGCTGCCTTATTCTGATTCAAGCCATTGGTCCATCATGCTCAGTGTTGTCCACACTGACTAGTATCAGCTCTCCAGGGTTTCAAGCAGGGAGTTTTCCCCATCCTCTACGCGGGGCTGCCCTTGAAGCTGTCCCAGAAACTCCAGCGGGTACAGAATGCTGCAGCGAGGCTCCTCACGGGGTCTCTGCCATGGGAGCATATTCACCCAGTGCTTTTCCAGCTGCACTGGCTCCCGGTGGAGTACAGGATCAGATTTAAGGTGCTGCTTTTGACCTTTAAAGCCCTTCACGGCCTAGGACCTTCGTACGTACGGGACCGCCTCTCCCGGTATGCCCCACGGAGAGCCTCAAGGTCCATAAATAGCAACACCCTAGTGGTCCCGGGCCCTAAGGAAGTCAGATTAGCTTCAGCCAGAGCCAGGGCCTTTTCAGTACTGGCCCCAACCTGGTGGAACGCTCTGTCTCATGAGACCAGGGCCCTGCAGGATCTGATCTCTTTCCATAGGGCCTGTAAGACAGAGTTGTTCCGTCTGGCCTTTGGCTTGGAGCCAGTTTGATTCCCTCCCTCCCTCCCTCTCTTTTTTCTTTTCCTTTCTCCTCCTGCGATGAGGCTACATTTTAATATTTCAATATTTTAATGTTGTATTTTAATCTTGTTTTTAAGTTGTATTCATTCAACTTGTTTTTATTATTGCTTGTTAGCTGCCCTGAGCCGGCCTTGGCTGGGGAGGGCGGGGTATAAATAAAAATTATTATTATTATTATTATTATCCTTACCTGGGGATGCGGTCGGGTATTGAACCTGGAGCCTTCTGCACTCAAACCAGGTGCCCCACCCCTGAGCTACTGCCCTTCCCCATCACTTTTGCTAGATCTGAGTATATCCTTCGGCAGTGCTTAATTGATGTTTTCTTTTTAACTGTTTATGGTTTTATCATATGTTTGTAATACACGGACCCGCCTTCACCTTGTTTCCCCTCTGCCCTTTTCCCGCCTCCCTCCCAGGTCTACAACGTTTACATGGCAGGCCGGCAGCTGTGTTCCAAGCGGTACCGCGAGTTCGCCATCCTGCACCAGAATTTGAAGCGGGAGTTTGCCAGCTTCACCTTCCCCCGCCTGCCGGGCAAGTGGCCCTTCTCCTTGTCAGAGCAGCAGCTGGATGCCAGGCGGCGGGGGCTGGAGGAATACCTCGAAAAGGGTACGCAGACAAGAGCACGTGGGTCGGGGAGGGGGCCGTTGGCGTGTTCTCCACCGACAGCCGATTCATCTGAACAAACCACGGTTTGGTCAGCTGCTTCCTTAGAAGTGGAGCTGAAACAAAAGCTTTCAGAAAGGCTAATAATTCAATTTTTTAAAAGTATCCCTGCAGTGAATTAGGCCACAGATTTTCCATGCATTTATTTTATTAATTAGTTCCGAAACATTTATACACAGCTTGATTGTAAGGAGCAAACAAACCAACTCAGCAAGCCTCAAAGAGGCGCATATATATATATATATATATATATACACACACACACACACACACACACACACACACACACCAATAAAAGTGTCAATAAGAAAAAACTAGCACCAGTAATTTAAGATTAAAAAATTTAAGCAGCAGAACCTGTTTTCAAGGCAAGGTAACAAGTCATGCTCTTAAAAGAGACATTCCTTATAAGGCTTGGCGGGGAGGAATTCCTGTTCGGGGAGAGTGCATTTTTTATTTAGAGTTACGAGAATAAGCAGATACAGTGGTGCCTCGCAAGACGAAATTAATCCGTTCCGCGAGTCTTCGTCATGCGGTTTTTTCGTCTTGCGAAGCACGGCTATTAGCGGCTTAGCGGCTATTAGCTGCTTAGCAGCTATTAACGGCTTAGCGGCTTTAAGAAAAAGGAAACAAACTCGCAAGAACTCGCAAGATGTTTCGTCTTGCGAAGCAAGCCCATAGGGAAATTCGTTTTGCGGAATGACTCAAAAAACGGAAAACTCTTTCGTCTAGCGAGTTTTTCGTCTTGCGAGGCATTCGTCTTGCGGGGCACCACTGTACATGCAGATGCATTAAATCATGCAACCGGCTAAACCTCATTCGATCGATCACCTGGGAAATGTCTGTGGCCCCGCCCAGATGTGGCTGGACTCCAAGTCCCAGCAGCTGCAGAAGCCAGCATGGGCAAATGACGATGGGAGTTGTAGTCCCGAGAGCATCCAGAAGGCCTCTCAGGCTGCCCATCTCTGGCCCTGACAGTTCTTTAATCGAGCCTCAGGCTGGCCTGGAAGCTTTGAGAATTGAGGTCGACAGGAAACAGCCTTTGCCTCCTGTCCAGCCCTTCAGATTCCTCCTCTGGCATGGAAGTCTGGCTAAGGCAGAAGGTGCAAAGATTATCCTGGGAGCACCCAGTCCTGTAGCTAAGGAGGTGTGCATTTGATCAGTACTGGATGGGGGGGGCACTACCTCCCTCTCCAACCCCACATAAATTGCATTAGCAGCCCACCTGGCAAGCGCATAATATAGTCCCCTCCCCAGTTTTTTACAGGCTAAATGTTCTGGGGTGGCCATGGAATAAGCAGGTGGGAGTCTGTGCTTAGCAGTGGGGCAGATCCACCACTGTTAATCTCCAAGGAACCTTGAAAACAATCCAGGGACTGAGACCTCCTCTTGTTCTGCCAATTCCCTCTTCCTGCCCGTTAACTTTGAAAATACTTTTTTTTTTACCAACAACCAAAACACAAATAGTGAAACCCCCAGGCGGCTGATACATTGAGTATACATAATCAATAATAACATATTCAAATCAACCATATGTACAATTTTATATACGTTAACACTCCTCCATCCACAAGGTTTATTTAACTTCTAACATTTTAATTGCCCCAAATTGTTCAAACCTACCCAAATAATTCAATATCTTCTCAAGCTAATTCTCCTCTTTCTCACGGACCTTAAACCCTTTCATTCTGTCTATCTTCACAGTTAGATATTCTAAAATTATAATATTATTCAGTTTTTTTCTCCATTGGTTCACCTCTAACTCTTCTGCATTTTTCCAATTACTCGCTATAATCTGTCTGGCTGCAGTTACCATCAATTTTATCCATTTACATTCCTCTTTTGTTTTTATCTCGGTGCTACTCAGACTAATAAGAACCATTAATTTAGATATTCCCACCATCCTACCCACAGTTCCCGATATTTCTATACCAATCTGTTTCCAAAATTCATTAACTAACGGACAATCTCACCACATATGACTGTACTTTCCCATCACTCCACATTTCCTCCAACAATTCTTACTTCCAGATTTTGTAATATGATATAACCTTACAGATGTATAATACCATTTTTGTACCAACTTCCTGCCTGTTAACTGACCCGTTCTCCTTCCCTCTGCAGTGTGTTCCATCCGGGTCATCGGGGAGAGCGACATCATGCAGGAGTTCTTGTCAGAGTCAGATGAGGTAGGCGAGCAAAAAACCGGACACTTCAAGGGAGGTGCCAGAGCATGTGCAGTTGATGCTTAAAGTATGCCCTAGAGTGTTGGACAGGGACCTGGGTGGCGCTGTGGTCTAAACCACTGAGCCTAGGACTTGCCGATCAGAAGGTCGGCGGTTCGAATCCCCGCGACGGGGTGAGCTCCCATTGCTCTGTCCCTGCTCCTGCCAACCTAGCAGTTCAAAAGCACGTCAAAGTGCAAGTAGATAAATAGGTATCACTCTGGCGGGAAGGTAAACAGCGTTTCCGTGCGCTGCTCTGGTTCGCCAGAAGCGGTTTAGTCATGCTGGCCACATGACCCTATAGCTGTACGCCAGCTCCAATAAAGCCAGATGAGCGCCGCAACCCCAGAGTCGGCCACGACTGGACCTAATGGTCAGGGGTCCCTTTACCTTTAGGGTGTTGGACTAAGTCCTTGGAGACCAGGGTTCAAATCCCCACATGCCAATGAAGCTCACCGGGTGACCTTAGGCCAGTCGCTGCCTCTCAGCCTAACCTACTTCACAGGATTGTTGTGGGGATTAAATGATGAGGGATAGAACCATGCTCCCCATCTTGAGCTCTTTGCGGAAAATGGTGGGCTATCAGTGCAACCCCCCCCAATAAATAATTAACAAAAGTCTGTAGGTTCAATCCCCGGCTTCTCTCATCAAGGTGTTTAGAGCTTTGAGAAGCTCAGCAATGACTTTTCCTGCCAGGCATTTCAGGAGAGTTGGGAAATCATGTGTGTTTTGAGTTCTTAGTTGTTGTTTTTCAAAAACGTAACACCCACACTCCTGCTTTCTGTTTAAGTGGATTGGCCCGTCACATTTCATTTCATTTTTATGAGCCGTATACTTTGAGCCTCTTTGCGGAGGACATAGTTGGCAGAAGAGCGGGACAGACATCTCAGCAAACGGGAAAAGCAGAACAAGGTGTCCTGGGGGGAAAGGCCCCCACCTGTACGTGCATATCAAACGTCCTGTGTGGGTGTAGATAGAAGCTGCCCTTCCAGAGCAAGAACTTGCTTGGCCCTCCAGGCAAAGAGCCTTCTGAGACATGGGGCTTGGGGACCCAGGCGCCTCAAAGAGCACCTTCCTCCGTATCAACCTTCTCGGGTCCAGCCAGGCGAGGACCTGTGGGTGGTGCCACTGCCACGGGGGGTTGCCTGACCTGTCACAGGGTTTTTTTAGTGGTAGTTCCTCGTTTGTGGGGAACACACACACCCCTGTTTATGGAGGCATTTGATAGGTAAAAGTTCCCTTCCTGGAAATTCTGAAATTATTTTAAGGACAAGTGATGGCTTTTATGAGTTTTAAATGATTTTTTAGAAGGTTGTATTGAACCTTTTTTTAAAGAAGTCTTAGTTGTATTAGTATCGATCCTTTTGCTGCCCCGGGCTCCTTTGGAGCAGGGAATACTTCTAAAAGTATAAGGGATGCGGGTGGCGCTGTGGGTTAAACCACAGAGCCTAGGACTTGCCGATCAGAAGGTCGGCAGTTCGAATCCCCGCGACGGGGTGAGCTCCTGTTGCTCAGTCCCTGCTCCTGCCAACCTAGCAGTTCAAAAGCACGTCAAAGTGCAAGTAGATAAATAGGTACCGCTCCGGTGGGAAGGTAAACGGCGTTTCCGTGTGCTGCTCTGGTTCGCCAGAAGCAGCTTAGTCCTGCTGGCCACGTGACCCGGAAGCTGTACGCCGGCTCCCTCGGCCAATAAAGCGAGATGAGCGCCGCAACCCCAGAGTCGTCCGCGACTGAACCTAATGGTCAGGGGTCCTTTACCTATACAGTGGTACCTCGGGTTACATATGCTTCAGGTTACATACGCTTCAGGTTACAGACTCCGCTAACCCAGAAATAGTACCTCGGTTTAAGAACTTTGCTTCAGGATGAGAACAGAAATCATGCTCCGGCAGCGGCGCAGCGGCAGCAGGAGGCCCCATTAGCTAAAGTGGTGCTTCAGGTTAAGAACAGTTTCAGGTTAAGAACAGACCTCCGGAACGAGTTAAGTTCTTAACCTGAGGTACAACTGTACTTCTAAAGAATTGTGTGCAAAAGGGTGTTCCCCATGACACAGGGAAGCCACAGTCCACCCCCTCTCATTATGGTGGGACCAAAGGCTTTTCCAGACCGGTGGCTGCCCCATACCCTTTTAGGCAGGCTCAATTCCCCCAGCATCTCATGGTAGGAAAGAATCCAGTTTGATAATGCAGGCTTCCGCTTGACTAGGTGCAGGGAATCCTTGGCCATCTAGATGTTGCTGAACTACGTCTCCCATCACCCCTAGCCATTGGGCATGCTTGCTGGGGCTGATGGGAGCTGCACTTCAGCAACGTCTGGAGGGCCAAAGCTCTCCTCCCCACCCCTAAACGGCCTTAGCCCAGTATACCTGAAGGAGCATCTCCACCTCCATTGTTCTGCCTGGACACTGAGGTCCAGCTCCGAGGTCCTTCTGGCGGTTCCCTCGCTACGAGAAGCCAAGTTACAGGGAATCAGGCAGAGGGCCTTCTCGGTGGTGGCACCTGCCCTATGGAATGCCCTCCTATCAGATGTCAAAGAGAAGAACAACTACCTGACATTTAGAAGACATCTGAAGGCAGCCCTGTTTAGGGAAGCTTTTAATGTTTAATAGGTTATTGTATTTTAGTGTGTTGTTGGAAGCCGTCCAGAGTGGCTGGGGAAGCCCAGCCAGATGGGCGGGGTATAAATAATAAATTATTATTGTTATTATTATTGTTATCATTATTATTATTATTAGTGGCTCCCCTCTCTTTCCCCCTCTCTTTGCGACATCGCTCCTCATAGCTGAGGATCCTTTCCTTGTGCCCTGGAGAAACTTAAAAACCTAGGACTGGAGCGTGAGAGGCATACCTTAAACAAAAACAATAAATCCTGGCTTTATCTTCCCGCCCTTGCACCCTAGAACTACAACGGCGTGTCGGACGTGGAGCTCAGAGTGGCGCTTCCAGACATCACGACAGTGACCGTCCGGGTCAAAAAGAACAGTACCACGGACCAGGTGTATCAGGTGAGGAGGGCAGGGGGGCATCTAGGGATGCGATTCCTCACCGGCAACAGAGAAAGAAAGACAGAAACAGGCTCGGATTTCTTTACTTTGTGCACTGTTTTTAAGGAAGCCTCCTTAGACTTTTAGAAATGTGAGAAGCTGCCTTCTATCGAGCCCAGACTCTTGTTCCGTCCAGCTCAGCACTGTCTGCACAGACAGGCAGCAGCTGTCTCGGGTTTCAGACAGAGGGTATCTCCAGGCTTAACTTCCCATTCTGCACGTGACGCACTGAGTCGTTTGTGTGGGAAAACTCCACCCTGAGAGACATGAAAAGGGAAGTGTGGGGCACCCTTCGTGGCTGTCCGCATCGGGGTGTGCCACTATGAGCGGCTCTTTGCCTGTCTCCAGGAGCAGAATGAGGCCTCTCTGCACCAAGCAGAGGAAGCTGGAAGGCCAGGTCATTGTCTCCAGCCTTTCCCACCCCTGCTCAGTTCAAAGCCCCAGCCCTTTCCTCCTCCTCTCACATCTCCCCAATATCAGGAATTGAAACTGGGTGGATTGAAAAGAGCTGAGCTAACCATCTCCAGAGCCTGAATCACTTTGCAAGAAGAAGCTGCACTGAGTCCTTGCTCTAAAACAGCCTTTCTCAACCTGCGGGTCCCCAGATGTTGTTGGACTACAACTCCCATCACCCCTAGCTAGCAAGGCCAGAGCTCAGGGATGATGGGAGTTGTAGTCCAACAACATCTGGGGACCCACAGGCTGAGAACCGCTGCTCTAATATAACAAGCAGATGTGGAGGTTGGGTCAGGCTTCATGGCTCTGGCCTCAGAGTCAGGCTTGAGAATTAGCGGCTCACCCCCTTTTCATCATCATCATCGTTATTATTATTATTATTGTAACGTAATAGCCTTTACGAACAACCTCAAGGTACAGTGGAGCCTATTATGATTATTACTTATAAATTTATTACTCGCCATTCACTCTAAGGCAGGGTTACTCAACCTTGGGTCTCCAGCTGTTTTGGGACTACACCGCCCATCATCCCTAGCTAGCAGGACCAGTGGCCAGGGATGATGGGAATTGTAGTCCCAAAACAGCTGGAGACCCAAAGTTGGGAAACACTGCTCCAAGGTGCCAGGGTGGGCCACAGCATTAAAAGCAAATGAAAACATATTGGCTAACAGAGTGAGCCCCTGTCTGCATTCAGCCCTGTCAGTTGGTCAGCGTGACAGAATGTAGAGAATTGACACATATAATGTAATCTACCAGTGTGTGTATATATAGATAAATACTTAGTTGAGAGGGGTTTTTTATTCATTTTTTTTTGTAACATAATGAGCTTTACTAACAACCCAGAGGTGCAACAGCAGGGTATTTCATCACACCGTGTCCAACCATAAGAAATAAAGTCACACCAGCTGACATAAAAGAGTTCTGGGTCCTCTGTCCCTCTAGAGGCATGCAATTGATGTTATTTCCCCCTGCTATAGCCAAAGTCCATACGTTCGTATATGACACAAAGACAGAGGTAGATTTTCTGAAAGGTTTTCCACTGCTGGGCTGTTGAAATCCTAGCTGCAGCTAACGTTTGTGGAGTGACCAGTTTTCACATTATCAGACTGCGTACTCAGTGGCGACAGTGGTGGGAAGGCCTGAACAGGCGATTTGAGCTATTTATTGATATAATTTGAGATATTTATTGATGTGCTTGAGACCAGAATAACGAACCCCAAGGGCACCAAAGATGGAAGAATGTCCTGCAAGCGACAACCCTGCCAGCCGTCCTGTGTGTATATTAGCATCCCTTGAAGGGACAGTCGTGTGCCCAGAGACAGCCCGGCTGTGCCTTGCACTGTCCCAAGGATTAACCCCGCCCCCCCAGTTTGTCTGATGCTTATTCTTTCTCTTCTCCCTCTTCTTGCCCTCCAGGCTGTTGCTGCCAAAGTTGGGATGGACAGCACAACCGCCAACTACTTTGCCTTGTTTGAAGTGATCAATCACTCATTTGGTGAGGCCTGAAGCCGGGTGGGAGGTTCAGAGTGTGTGGGGTGTGTGTCTTTCTTCTGCTTTTTCAGAGATTTCCTTGAGCCCCTTCCCTAGGAGGGAAAAGCTCAAGCAGCAGACAAAATCCAGAAAAAATGAGAACTGCTAAGTGGGGGGAAATGCCTTTATAAGATTCTACATGTTGCAGAGGAAGTACCATATTGTTCGTTCTATAAGACGCACCCAACCATAAGACACACCTAGTTTTTGGAGGAGGAAAACAAGAAAAAAAATATTCCTAATCCCAGAAACCAGAACAGCAAGAGGGAGTGCTGCGCAGCGATCCCTCTTGCTGTTCTGGCTTCTGGGATAGCCGCACAGCCTGCATTCGCTCCACAAGACGCACACACATTTCCCCTTACTTTTTAGGAGGGAAAAAGTGAGTCTTATAGAGCAAAAAATACGGTAAATGAGCTTTTCTCTCTCCTCACAACCCAGAATATTGTAATTCAGGGCCACCCACTGGAATTAGGCAGTGAGATAGTTTAAAAGGATCTGGTGCGAGTTTACGCATCTTTGTCTATGGATCCGTGGGGGGAGCAGGGAGTTAAATGGGCACCCTCTGCATATGTGGTACCAATTCTTCACCCCCCCCGCATTTCTGCATTCCCCCCCCCCCACAGTGCGGAAGCTGGCGCCCAACGAGTTCCCCCACAAGCTCTACGTGCAGAACTACACCTCGGCCGTGCCGGGGACCTGCCTGACGATCCGGAAGTGGCTCTTCACCACGGAGGAGGAGGTCCTTCTGAACGACAACGACTTGGCGGTCACCTATTTCTTCCACCAGGTGGGCGCCCTCGGGCGGTCTCTGCGCTCGCACGGTCTTTGTGTATGTGTGTCCGTCCGTCTCCTCGCAGGCTCTTCTTTTTGAAGGCGCCCCCGGATTGCAGAGGGTCTCACACGCACAGTGCCTGTAGAGACACGAGAGGACCATATGCAACATGTCATGTTGCAATCTTTCCAGGGATCGGGAGAAGGAGGTAAAAGGCAGCTGGGGTAGCATGAACAGAAGTGCTTAAAATCATACATGGCATAGTGACAGTGGGCAGAGAGGTTTTCCTCTCTCTTTCAGAATACAGTCATACCTCGGGTTACAGACTCTTCAGGTTGCTTTTTTTTGGGTTATAGACGCGCCGAAACCTGGAAGTACCGGAGCGGGTTGCTTCTGGGTTTTGGCGGTCGCACATGTGCAGAAGCGCTAAATTGCACTTTGCGCATGCGCAGAAGCGTCAAATCGCAACCCGTGTGTGTGCAGACGCAGCACTGTGGGTTGCGAACGTGCCTCCTGCACGGATCACGTTCGCAACCCGAGCGTCCACTGTACTACAAGTGACACACGGGTTTATGTCCCTGCCTACTGTGCATATGAGCAAAATTGTGCAAAGCCAGGAACCCCTGGAACCGGGCTCACTCACTGCAAGGGTGCAAGGCTGCTTGCTTGCCTTTGGGAAGGAGGTGGCAGGGCCAGAAGTCCAGCACCTTCCTCACCTGGCTTTGGGAAGGTGGCATGGGGACTCTGGGGTGCTGCCATTGCATATTAGTGCAGGGGTGTCTGTGTGTGTGTGTGGGGGGGAATAAATAAATGCAGAGTGGGTTTCCTCCACTCTCCATTTATTTATTTATTACGCCCCCCCCCACAAAGCTGCAATTGCAAAAGTAAAATGTAAATAAATTGCGAGTTACCTGAACTTTGCTTTCTTTACAGGCAGTCAGCAGACCATTAAAACATTCTATAACAATCAGCAGTTACCTTTGATAAAACTAATAACAGTGCAGATTAATAAAGCCGAAAGACACAGAATCAAAATGCTAGACTGTATGTCAGGCGGTCATAGGATGCCTATTAAAAATACCTTTATATAATAATAATAATCGTAATAATTTATTATTTATACCCCACCCATCTGGCTGGGCTTCCCCAGCCACTCTGGGCAGCTTCCAACACAATATTAAAATACAGTAATGCATCAAACATTAAAAGCTTCCCTAAACAGGGCTGCCTTCAGATGTCGTCTAGAAGTCTGGTAGTTGTTGTACTCTCTGACATTTGGTGGGAGGACGTTCCACAGGGCAGGCGCCACCACCGAGAAGGCCCTCTGCCTGGTTCCCTGTAACTTGGCCTCTCGCAGGGAGGGAACCGCCAGAAGGCCCTCGGAGCTGGACCTCAGTGTCCGGGCAGAACGATGTGGGTGGAGACGCTCCTTCAGATATACTGGACCAAGGCCGTTTAGGGCTTTAAGCATAAGGACTAGAAACTTGGAAGTCCTAATGACAGGATGTCAGGAGCTGGCATGGCATTTGAAGTAAAACACGGAGATCGACAGTGGAGTGGAATGGAGGGTGATCAAAACTGGTCTAGGCACACCCGGGTGATATTGTGGTAGCCGAGCCAAGGACAAACAAAAAATACTGGCGTCTGCCCTAGTCGAAGAACCAGGCCGGTCTCTGAATGCTTCTTATGTCACCCAGGCTGTTGATGACGTGAAGAAGGGGTACATAAAAGCCGAGGAGAAGTCCTACCAGCTGCAGAAGCTCTGTGAGCAACGGAAGATGGTCATGGTAAGGGAAGTCCCCTACCCCCCCCATTCAGAGAAAGGCATTCTGGGATGTGGGCTTTGCTGTTCCCGCCTGCTGGGCTGTAGCGCCTGGAAGCAGCGAAGTACCTTTTCTGTATCGTATGCGGAATTTTGTATCCTTTCCCTCTCTTTTGATTGGTATTTCATGTTTAGATTTGATCACATTGACTGCATCAAGTTAATAAAGTTTTAATCTTGGCGATGGATGAGATTGGATCGGAAATCAAAAGAGCGGCATCATCTGCAAATAAACTGATTTTATGCTGTGCATTTCATAGCCCTTAATGTCTGAAAACCTCCCTCGCTGCTGTTGCCAGAGGTTCCCTAGTAATGAATAGCCAAGAGCAGCAGTGAGAGAGGACAGCCTCGTTTTGTGCCTTTTCCAATTTTAATGTTGGTGTTTTCAAAGACGTTTAATCTAATGCTGGTTATGCTTTCCTAATACAGTTAAATTTTCTATTGATTTTAATCTATTAAAAGAAAATGGTAAGTAGGAAGCCGATAAAGGAAAGAGGGGAGAGAACTGTACACACACAAAAAATACTTTTAGATAGGAGAGTTAAAATTGAGTGAAATGAATTACAAGGCAATACGCCATTTATTATTTTACTGTTCCAACATTGGATGGACAGGGTTGGGAAGCATTTTATCGAGCCTTTTAAATCCTCTTAAATGAGCATATAAACGTGCAAGCATCACTTTATAACTAACCCTAAGAAGCGGGATGTGGGAGCAACGCTGACTGTGCTTGATTGGCTGGCCTTTCAGCCAATCAGATTAGAAAGCAGGGAGGGTGCATCCTCTATCCCTCCTCACTTCCTGCGACTTCCTCCCCTGCAGTACCTGAACATGCTGCGGACCTGCGAGGGTTACAACGAGATCATCTTCCCGCACTGCTCCTGCGACTCGCGGCGGAAGGGTCACGTGATCACAGCCATCAGCATCAAGCACTTTAAACTCCATGCCTGCACCGAGGAGGGTCAGCTAGAGGTCAGCCGCCAGGGGTCCCTGGCTGGGGCGGTTGGGGTGGGTCTCCGCAGTGGGGCGAGAGCGGCTGAAAGGCCCCCACACCCATGGAGGTCTTCGTTCCCTCTCGATGACACCTCCGCCCGCTCTCCGCTCTCCCAGAACCAGGTAATAGCCTTCGAATGGGACGAGATGCAGCGATGGGACACCGATGAGGAGGGCATGGCGTTCTGCTTCGAATACGCGCGGGGGGAAAAGAAGCCACGCTGGGTGAAGATCTTCACCCCTTACGTGAGTGTGGGCCGACGGGGAAGACAGCGAGGCATCGGGGAGGCGGCAGGGGCACGGAATATCTAGCGATGCTTTTGGAGCTGCCACCAGGGGGCACCAGCCTTTGACCTTTGTGGGGAAGAGGCGTCTGGTCGGTGCAGCTCCGGCCGGGATGGCAGAGCCGAATGAGAGGAGCAAACCCTCAGTCCTGAGAGACGGTTGTGTTTTCTCTTTCTCTCCCTCCCACCCCATTGCAGTTTAACTACATGCACGAATGTTTCGAGCGAGTGTTCTGCGAGCTCAAGTGGCGGAAAGAGGTGAGGAGTCCCGTTTGGCGTCATTTATGGTGATGCAAAGCGTGTTTTTGCCTTCCACAAGGAGATCTCTTCCCTACGGTTCTCAGTGTGAGATCTCTTCCCCTACGGTTCTCGGTGCGCAAGACTGGCAAAACTTGTCTGCCAGGTTGGGAAAGGGTTTTGCAAAGTGGTCCTGCAGCAGCCACTAAGAGGTGCTCCTTTCAGGAGAGGGCAGAGACCCTGTTCATGTCTATCGCTGTCTTGTGCTTGGCTGATTCCTGCTTGCAGGCTTCCTATTAGAGCAGCGGTTCTCAGCCTGTGGGTCCCCAGATATTGTTGGACTACAACTCCCATCATCCCTGAGCTCTGGCCTTGCTAGCTAGGGGTGATGGGAGTTGTAGTTCAGCAACATCTGGGACCCACAGGTTGAGAAAGGCTGTATTAGAGCATCTGGTGGCCACTGTGTGAACAGGAAGCTAGACTAGGTGGTCCCTCTTTGGCCTGATCCGGTAGGGCTTGTCTTATGAGTAACAGTGTGGAGGGCTCTCGCCTTCATCATAATTATCATCATCATCATCATCATCAAAATAAATTTTTATTTATACCCCGCCTTTCCCCGTTCAAAAACCGGGCTCAGGGCGGCTAACAACAAATTTAAAACATTTAGTTGTAAAAGCAGCATAAAATACAGTATAAAAACATGAATAACAATAAAATTCAAAAAGCAAATATCAATTTAGGGGAAATAAGCATTGGATAGTCATCAGGGCTAGCTGGCTGAATTGGTCCTACTTGGGCCAGCGAGGAGCCCAGGGGAGAAATAGCTGTGGGGTCTCAGAGTGGGTGATCTTCGTAAAAGGGGAGGGGGAGGGAAGAGAAGGGAAATAAAAGATCAGGCTGAATTCAAATTAAAAGCCAGGTGGAATAGCTCTGTCTTACAGGCCCAACGGAAGGAGGTTAAATCCTGCAGGGCCCTGGTCTCATGGGACAGAGCATTCCACCAGGTCGGAGCCATCACTGAGAAGGCCCTGGCCCTGGGGGAGTTTAGTCTGGCCTCCTTAGGGCCTGGGACCTCTAAGCTATGGTTATTCATGGACCTTAAGGTCCTTTGCGGGGCAGACCAGGAGAGGCAGTCCCGTAATTATGAGGGCCCTAAGCCCCACCTGTGGACTTGCTGGAAGAATCTGTTTACCCACCATGAGAAAGAAGCTGTTGAATCCGAAGAGCCCGTTGGCCTGATCTAGCTTCAGGGCTCTTATGTGGCATGTGCAAGCCAAGAACTGGAAGAGCTGCCATTTTTATTATCTCTGGGAACCAGTGGAACGTTGCCTCCAAATTCCTGGTTGCCTCCTTAGTCTTCCCACCCCACCTAGTGCACCTCCAGATGTTTCGGACTCCCACAATCCCCTGCTGGCATAGCCATGTGACGTTGGGGCTGGCAGGAACAGTGCAGGTGGTCAGAGCCCATTTGCAGGTGCGCCTGGTTTGGGGGAAGACAAGCGATCTGTCAAGGTGGACCTCAAGAGGTTTGATTGGAAGGGTGGAGGAAGAGGCGGGGCTGACACCTCTGCTCCTGGAGCTGATTGGCCGCCGCTCGCTTCCATACTTCCTCTTAAAACAATCCTGTCCTTTCAAAGGTGGAGGAAGAGGCGACAGACAAGGATAACAAGAACTGCAGTAAAGACAACATGTGCAGCAAGGTAAGGGGATGAGGACCCTCCCAACCCCCCGTTTTCTAGCGCAAGTGCAGGATAAGAGCTCTGCTTTTCCGTGTTGTGCGGAACGTGTTTGAGGTTGGGAAGAGCTAACCCCACTTTCTGGTCTGCTTCAAAGAGGTGCCCCGTTTCAAACTGGGCCGAGACGTCTTCCAAGACTTGATCTGGCTCAAAACAGCAGTTTCTAAGTGTTGCTAATAATATTAATAGGGACACGGGTGGCGCTGTGGCCTAAACCACAGAGCCTAGGGCTTGCTGATCAGAAGGTCGGCGGTTCGAATCCCCGTGAGGGGGTGAGCTCCGTTGCTCAGTCCCTGCTTCCGCCAACTTAGCAGTTCGAAAGCACTTCCAAGTGCAAGTAGATAAATAGGTACTGCTCCGGCGGGAAGGTAAACGGCGTTTCCGTGTGCTGCTCTGGTTCACCAGAAGCGGCTTAGTCATGCTGGCCACATGACCCGGAAGCTGTACGCTGGCTCCCTCGGCCAGTACAGCAAGATGAGCGCCGCAACCCCAGAGTCGGTCACGACTGGACCTAATGGTCAGGGGTCCCTTTACCTTTAATATTATTAATAAAGTTAAGCCTGCAGCTTACTGCGGGAGTTCGTTCCATTCTGGTGATTGCGCCTAAGGCCAAAATTGCAAACAGCCAAAGCAGGTTGGGTTCACTGGTGGGTGGGGTTGCCAAAGTCATTTCCCCCAGAACCCTGCTCTCTTTCCGCCCCCCTTTATTTATATATTTCCCGCCATACATGTCAAGCTGAATGCGCACGAGTTTAACGTGCATACATTGTGGGCTTAGCATAATAATAATTTGCAGTTGAAGTGGTAATTGGCGTGGCCCAGTGGTCAAGGATTTGGGAATCCCAACATCATCTGTGCACCACGGGTGGTCCTCCCCCAATCCCTGCTTTGAAAGTGCTCTTCTGAGCATGCCCAGTATCACTTTTCCTGCTTGGAATCTTGGGATTTGTAGTTTCTTTGCCTGGGGAAAGTGACTTTCCATCACTCCAGGGCACGGCGGTGTGTGCCTGAGCCCAAGCTGAGGATCTGGGTCTGCCGGCCGGCCGGCCAACCTCCTCTTATGAACTTTCGCCTCCTGCTGTCCCCCCGCCGCTGAAGGTGCCCATGAAAGCCCCTTCCGAGGATTTTGTCAGCGTTCACCAGGAATGCTTTCGCAACCCTGGCAGCTTTTAAGGCAGATTTTGTGGGGAGGGTCTGTGTCCGTAGATCACGTTTTCCATTGCTTCTCTTGGTATCTCAGCCGTCGTTCTCTCTCTTTTGGTCTCCTTTCCAGAACATCTTTCAGATGATGCGGACACAGCACAGAGACATTACGACTTAGCCTCGCGGCCGCCATGGACAAAAACAGACAACCACACACAGACACACACACACAGACAGACCGAGAAGCAAAACGTATTATCCCTTTCCCCGCCCCCCCTTCCTGAAAATTAACACTTTTAAAAATGAAAAAGAGAGAGGGGAAAATGGTTTATTGTATTAAAGCCCTTAAAACTAAATATTAATAATACCATTTGTGAATTTCATGTTAAATCAACTGGGGGGGCGGGGAGGGGAGGCAGGCAGGGATCCAGCCAAGCTGTTGGAAGCAGGAAGGGTGGGAAGAGATGGCGGTGGGAGCGGGGAATCCCGTTTCTTACCACCGAAAATTATGGGGGGGGTCTTCTCCCCCCCACAGTTTGCCCCCCTTCCTGTTGTTCAAAGATGGACTCTGCTGAGGGTTTTTTTCTGTTCTTTCCTTTTCCTTTTTTCTTTTTTTTTTTAAACAAACTGGATATAGAAATGTACATCCATTTGCACTGTTTGGACATATATATGTATGTATGTAAAAAAAAAATTATATATACAAACTATCACACACGTATATACATATATATATAATTTCATCTCGGCGGCCGTTTAACTTTCAGAATGCTTACATTTCTACACGGAGTTTTCCTTCCTCCGGAATTTGTCACGGTGGTGCTTCTTTTTCCTCTTGTAAAAAATAAATAAATCTGGAACCAGGAAGAGAGGGGGCGGGAATGGAAAACAGCATTAAAGGAGCTGCCTTTGCTCTCATTCATAGGAATTAACTGGAGCCGAAACAAATTTCAAATGCCATCATCGTCCAATCCCAAATTCTGAAACCATGAAAGAAGTTTGAATTTCAATGCTTGAAGCCCCTTTTACATGTGTGTGTGTGTGAGAGAGAGAGAATTTCTTCCCCCTGTTTTTGTGGCTGCATTTTGGGATGTTGGCAGGAGAAGTGGGGGGAAGTCTCTGGACAGAAAGCATTTCAGGAAAAACACTTTTGGTTCCAACTGGATTGAAACATCCAAGTTGTGTTTGTAATTCTGGAATATCAGCTCGAAGATTTTGTTGGGTTTTTTTTGTGGGAGGCAGTGTTTAAATTGAATAATTGCATCTGGGCGCCTTGGCTATTCCGGGCTTATAACACTCCCTCTGTCACCCCCCACCCTTGTGGCATTTGAGATTTTGTCAGTGTCACCGTCACGCATTTAAAATTGAGCAAAGGGGGGCTGGATGAGAAGAGGCGGTGAAAGAAAATTCCTTACAAGATTAGAACCCACCATCATGGAAACATGGTTGTTGCTTGAACTGCTAGCTGGCGCAGCCATGATCGGCAGCTGGAGATTTCTGCCCTATTCCCCTCCCAGAACTACAATTCCCGGCGTGTTTTAACAGTCAGTCCCTCCTCCCAAGGCACTCCGGAAATCGCTGCTTCCCAGGATTCTTGGGGAGGGGGAACCGTGACTGTTTAAAGCATAGCTGTCTACATTTCCCTTTTTTAAAGGGAAATTCCCTTATTCCAAGTAGGATTTCTCGCAAGAAAAGGGAAAAGTTGACAGCTATGGTTTAAAGTGGTATCATAGCGCTTTGAATGTGAGGTGCAAATGTGGCCAAGGAGAAGCCGTGTCTTCCCCATCCTCTTTCTTTCAAAGCATTTATGGCTCGAGATTTCCTGCCAGGAGGCGTACCAAGAGTGGTGGGGCCAGGTCAGTTGCAGGCCAGTTTCCGGCCTTTAAAACAACACGGGAGATGATGGCCGAGCAAGCCGGAGTGGTGGCTTCCAGAGCAGGGAAAGCAGGGTGGTGTGTGTGCATTTGCCCAGTGTCTGGAGAAGGCTGGTCCCGTGGTCACAGCTTTGAGGCACGTACTGTAGGGAGAGGAGCTACCCGTATTTTTTGCTCCATAAGATGTACCTGACCATAAGACGCATCTAGTTTTTAGAGGAGGAAAGGAGGAAAGCCCCTTTTTTTGAGGATCAGCTCAAAGTTGTGCAGCTTCTTTTGCAAAGGGAAAAGGCCCTTTTTTTGAGCATCAGCTCAAAGTTGTTGAGCTTACTTTGCAAAGGGAAAAAATCCTGTTTTTATGGGGTTTAACTCACAGTTCTGCAGCTTCTTTAGGAAAGGAAAGGGAGCCGTTTCTACAGTTTCCAGACATATAATCTAATCAGCCAGTCACATGTCGCTGGGGAAACAAATAGCTTCCGTCTGCAGAACATTCAACAATGGAGGACTGGGCAAGGGGGCAGGGTGATCAACCACACATTCGCTCCATAAGACGCACAGACATTTCCCCTTACCTTCTAGGAGGAAAAAAGTGCGTCTTATGGAGCAAAAAATATGGTGAATCATTTGCCCACATGTTAGAAGTAGGGGCTGCAGTTGGGCTTAATGGAAAAGTAGGGTGTGAGATCATGCCCAAGCAGGTGTGACTTCACTGCCGCTGGACATACACTTGGATGCTTTTCTGAGGCTTTCCCCACAAGTTCAAGAGTCAACACCTGACTTGAGAGTGTAAGAAAAACCCTTTGGAGCAGGGCCAAAGGCCCATCAAGCCCTGCATCTCGCTCTCCCACTGTGGCCAGCCAGGAGCAGCAGGGCAAGAAATCCTTAGTTGTAGTTTCCAAGTCACCTTCAAAGGTAGCCCCACGTAGAGCGCATTGCAGTAGTCCAAGCAGGAGATAACTAGAGCATGCACCACTCTGGCGAGACAGTCCGTGGGCAGGGAGGGTCTCATCCTGCATACCAGATGGAGCTGGGAGACAGCTGCCCTGGACACAGAATTGACCTGTGCCTCCATGGACATCTATGAGTCCAGAGAGTAGGAAGCTACACTGTATATGCCAGGGAAGGATCTTTGCTCAAAGAGTGAGCATGTCAAAAGTCCTAGGTTCCATCCTCAACATCTCCAGATACGACTGGAAGAGATCCCTGCCTGAAACCCTGCAGAGCTGGTTGTTGTGGACAGTCCTGAGCTACATTGTCCAGTGGCCTGTCTTACATCCTTGTTTAAACCTGCCTTACTCAGAACCATGAGGACTGGAATGGTGTTCTGTTTCAAGGGCAAAGGCCGCAGCTCATATGGGAGAGCGGCCAGAAGGTCCCTGGTCTCCTTCCTGGTAGAGCTGAGAACGTCCCTTACCTGAAACTTGGAGGATGTCTGCAAGTCAGTGTGGGCTTTGCTGAGCTGGAGGGACCCCAATGGTTTGCCTTCCTTGGTTGCTAAGGCAGCAGCCTCAAGCTGTGACCTGGAGGAAACTGGGCAGGGAGGTGAAATTGTAGCCTTATTGGACTTTACCAATTGGTAGGGTGAGCGTTGCTCCCGGACGGGAGGAAGGAAGTCAAATGACACCGAGGGTTGGTTCAGAGAAAGAGTTTATTCTGCTCTCCGGATAGCAGAAGGCACTTGCGTGGTCAGCTCACAGCAAGTCCAAAGAAATGAGATTTCATGCAGTATATATATCCTCTAGGCACCCTCTCCCCACTTCCCCAGGAATCCAGCCACGTCAGCTTATACACGCAGGTTAACATCACAGATGTTCCTGCTCCGGTACTTTTAACCATAAAAGGGTGTTCCTCTTCCTGTACTCTTGACCATATAAGGGTATTCCTGTTCTGGCACTCTTATCTTGGGGTAAGAAGGTCACCAACTCTCCTGGCGCTGTTCCCGGACTAGGTCTATGTGTCAGAGTGTGGTCTGGATGTAAGATAAGACCCAGACGTGCCATCCCTGCTCCACTGGAACAGTCAAGGCCATACATTGCCGTCATGGACTGATAAAGGAGAGCGCTTTGTTTATACAGCTGGGTTCCTGTTATGCATTTGCTCAACAGCTCAAGTTAATGCATTTTAGAAATGCTCCCTTGCAGAAGGAAAAATGCGGATTTTGGGGCCCGTTCCAGACTAACTACACAGTCAGGTTTTTAGATTTGGGAAACCCATTCCTTCAAAATGACCCCCTCTAATGCCTCAAACATCTATGGGGTGTCTCTTCCTTCAGGCTTGAAGCAGGGTTTGGCTCCAACTTCTTCAGGGTGCAGACTGCAGCTGAAGGGAATCTTCCCATGTAGAATAAGAATTGCCTCCAAACTGTTGGCCCCGTAGGGTGGCCAGCGCTGGCAATGGGAAGATTGTGAGAAAGATCTCTCTCTCTCTCTCTCTCTCTCTGTCTCTCCAGGTCTTAAGGTAAGGCTTCATCTGTGTTTGAGGCTAGGATTCCCTCCTGGGGCGGGCAGTGTGCCATGTGCCTCTGAGCTAGTGCAGAGTGCTTTCCCTTGCCGAGTGACTCCAGGCAGCCTCTGTTCCCCTCTCTTTTTAGAAGAAGTTCAGACATGGAAGGCACACAGAACTTTCTAGCCAGTCAACTTATTTCCTCAACTTATCGCATCATTCCAGGCAAGGCAAGCCTCACCTCTGCTTTTCAGTGGTTCCTCCTCTTCCTCCGAGAGAGGGCTTCCAGGAGCTGGTTCAAACGTGAGTAGCTGCAGGCACCAGCCGCAGCCAGAGAAGCGTTAGAAAGAAATTGAGTTCATCTTGTTTGCCGGAGCTTCAGGAAGTTCAAACTTCTTTTTTTAGGTTTTTGGGGAGAGGAGACAGGAGTTTTCCAGGGGATTTTCGGGCTGGGGATTTCTGGTAGCCGGAAACTTCTGTGGAGGAGCAGAAAGGAGTATTTATAATGGCTGATAAAACGAGCTATTGAGTGACTGTGCCTATTCCTGCATTGTCAGGGGCTGTGGAGACTTCTGTTAACAACCCTGACATTGGGTATGGGGAACCTCTGGCCCTCCAGGAGCCTCTGAGCCACAGCTCCCATGATTGACCAAGCAAAAGTTCAGCCACGGTTCCCCATCCCTCCCTTAACTTCTCAAACGTGTATCTCCCAAGACACAGCTATTACATGGAGGTTTGTTACAGTCCATTATGCATTCAGTTTATCAGTCGCACAACACAGAAGGGGTCTCTGAGCAGATTGCAAAATGTTTTAAACATGATGCGTGACATGAAATCGGGGAGCGAGGAGAGCAGTGCGTCGCAGTAGCTAGAGGTTGTCCTCTTGAGGAATTTGAAACAATCACATGTTCGTTCAAAATCCAATTGAAGCTAGTTTAATTTGACAAAACCGAACTTGATCCGGTGATGCCAGCTTCTCAAAGTCTTGAGAGGCATTGACACCTCTGGCAACCCCCCTCCTTGCCGCTTAGTGCCCCCTCCCAAGGCCATCCCATCATCCACTTTAGGAACCTCTAACAGCTGAAAACATTATTCCACCCGGTGATCACAGGGTTGCCAGGAACACTATTCTTCAGCCCTGTGAGCAACAGGGATGTTTTCAGCTTCCTCAAATGTCATAAAGATGGAGACAGATACATCGCACTGGGGGGACATTGCACAACCAGGGGACCACCACCCAGAAGGCCCCGCCATGGGTCAGTGTCAACGAGGCATCACTGCTGTTATAGGCAGATATTTCTCCTCTCCATAGAAGTCCCTGCAATGTGCTCTTACGTCTTCAATTTGATTTGCAACAATTTTGACCTCTGGTTTTAAAACGTTGGCGTTTACCTTCGTTGACGTGGCTGCGGTTCTGATGTTGCTCTCTCCGGTAAGAACTTGCAGGAGAAATTGGGGCAGAGCCCCGTCAGGGTACCCAACTTGGTCTCGTCCGTGTGCTGTTGAACTCCCATCATATCCATCCTTGACCATCGGCCTTGCTGGCTGCAACTGGGAGCTGGACTTGGGGGACGTCCAGAGGGCGACCATGTTTGCTGCTCCTGCGTTAGGGAGAAAGGTTTTTGGTGTGATGGTCTCAGCCCTTTGCCAAAGCAACTCAGGAGTCTTAGCAAAGGTCCATTGGTCGCCCACGCTTGGGGCGTGAAAGCCCAGGGGGCCTGCTCCACCACTTGGCATTTGGAGGTAGACTGCCTCTGACGCTGGAGGTTCTGTAACCGTTATGACCAGTTGTTCCCAACACGCCTCCCCATTTAAAGCCATCTAAATTGGTGGCTGCAAATTCATGGTGTGAAGCACCG